AGTAGAGCGCTAGCCTTGAACTGAGGAGCTGAGGGACAGCGCCCAGGCCCAGAGTTCAGGCCCCACGACCGGAACAAAAAAGAAAAAAGAGAAAATTAGCAGTGGCATAGCAGGCAGAGGGAACCCAAGTATTCTTGTTTAAGGTGAGCTGTTGAAAACTGACCTACATAATTCCCAGTAGGTAACTACAGATGAAGAATCGGTGTTGGGGAGAATGCTGATCACAAAAGTCAAGGAACTACATGCAAACGTCACTATGAGATGCTCGGTTACCCACCGGGGTAGCAAAGGAGAAAAGTGGCTAGAGCTAGCTCTGGGACAGGGGGCTTCACGCTTCCGTGTCAGTGGGAGTGGGGAGGGCACGCCCCTAGCACGCCCCATTTGGTAATAGTAGGCAGCCCTACAGTTCCTCCTCCTGGCCCAGTGGTCCCCCATTCTATAGGCTTGAATTCCAGAGAGCTAACCTTGAGCCGTGGACAAAGCTCACCAGGGCAGCGGCTTGACATAATTTCACTTGGCCACACAGCTGTTCGGGGAAGTGCATTCACAGCTGTTGGCTGCATCACTCCGCCACCTACCTGGTATATCGAACATGTGTTCCTTTGTCTGCAGCAAGTAAAATGAGCTTAAAACTTGAGCTAAATACACATTAAGTTTCTATAGAAGCACATTAAGTTTCCATGGAAACTCATTCTTATCCCCCCCTTATCTAGTTTGAACCTTACGATCTTCCTAAAAGTTGGGCAGGGTGGTCCTTATTCTGGGAGACTACCGACAGCTCACTCAGCTTGCCGCTCCTCCCTGCCCTTCTCAAGGAACATGGTGTATTCCTAGGCCATGGAAAGGAATGGCTCCATGTATTAAATGATTTCTCAACACCATTGCTGGCAAGAGTGAGGCTGTCTGATACCAGTACCAAAGTAGGAAAGTAGGTGTGTGTGTGTATATATGTGTGTGTGTGCGTGTGAGTACATGTATCTGGTTATTTTTTCTTGTTGGTTGCCAATTCTAGTAGAGAAACTATTCTCAAACAGTGAAATACCTTGCACTTAAAGAAGCCACACATCTAAATTCTAGAAATTTCAATCTACCGCTTTTCTGTACATTCCTGTGGATATGTTGAGTATAAAAAGTAATCTCTTCATATACCAACTTTGGGTGGTCAGAATTCTCTGGCTCCAGCATCTTGGGGAGGCTGAGCCTCTACATGGAAGAAACATGGTTGAAAACAATGAAGAGAAACTGGCATTTTCTCTTCATCAAACTTCCTAAATATCATACAACTCCCCAAGTCCTGTGATACACAAACATCCTGAGTTGCCTAGAATGGGAACAGTTAGCTGGAGGTGAGGTGCAGTGACAGAGCACTTGCCTAGAATGTGTGTTTGTGAGGACCTAGGTCCAACCCCCCCAACCCCCACTCAAATAACGTAACAACAGTGTCATTACTGGAATTTAGCGAGTACTTTACACAGTGTACAAGGTACTGCTACACTCCTTATAAGCCTCGCGTTTTAGAGCTCACAGATGTGTTAGAGAGTGGTTACACAATTGTACAGTGCTAAGCTGACTTCAGAGAGGCTCTTCTAATCTTGGGTCTGGCCTCTATACCTCCTAAATGCCAATGTGGAGATTGAGCCCAGGCTTCCGGGCATGCTGGGCAGTTGCCCACTGCTTGCAGCTCCCAAAGTGAGTTTTTTTTTTAAAGGAAATTTTCAATTTCAACTCTATGCAAGCTCCTCTCTCCATGCATACGGTTACACAGAACTAACTGGAAGGGCTTCATGTTTGCTACTCAGGCACTCTACCACTCGAGCCGCACCCCTGGCAAGGTATGTTGGTAGCTATGTAAATGGTAAAGTTTATAAGTGCACAATCGTAGGCGATTGACAGGAACCTGAATCCACCTTGCTGGAAGTCGCTGCCCTTTCTACAATCCACAGGCACACGCGTCTTTCTGACCCCATCTCAGATTTCTAACCTTTATAATACCTTTGGACATTGTTACAATAATAAGCTATGATCAATTGCAGCAAATGTGGAAACTGCCAACAATACTGAAAAAACAATCATCTGCTATTCCTAATTTCCCACTGTGCCCCAGGAAAGCTGTTAAATTTGGGTGTTTACAATCTTTTTTATCTTGTAGCTAAAATACAATTTTTAGGGTCTTACATGTGTGGAGCTGCTCGTATCTTACTAGGCAAGCAGTGTATTTGGATCTGAGGATTTGGTTAAAATAAGTCCTCCTTACAGCAAGCAGGTGAGAGAAAGGACTGGAGTGTACGTACGCTTGGAGGGTTATGCATTGTTTTCCATGGGTTTAGCACCTGTGATGCTGTCAGCAGGGTCAAAGCCTGTGTTTACTCAGACTTATACCCCAGTCCTGTAGCTTAGGACGGTAACCACAGTGGGTCGTTGTGAGGGGAACTTTCTATGCTGATAGGAGATTCCTTTTAATATGTGCTCCTTGTTAATATTGTAGCGATAACAATAACTTACAGTATGTGAAGAAAATATCATCTTTGATCCTCTCAGCAGCCCTTTGAGACTTGAAGAGTTTATTCTTCTGAGTTTAGAAAAGCAAAACTGAGGCTGGAAGGCAGGTGAGTTGCTTGACATCACCGAAGTGAAAACACACTGGGAATCCAGACTTAGAGCTTGGGCTTTCTGGCTGTCTGAAAGCAGTGTTTTCACCAAACAGTGGCTGTTTAGATCAGCTGGTTATTTTTACTTTTAGGTTAAATACATTGACATGATTGTGTTATTGTTGCAGGAGTAGGGAATGTCCAGTGCATGTGCTGTGTAAGGCCTGTAAAGTCACTTGCCTGACAGGAGACACATATGCTTCCTGAATAACTTCCAATTCACTGCCCGCAGCCATATGCCTTTACTGATAATCTTGTATGGCCTGTGAATGCTGCTATAAATATCCCAATGGGCCTTGACAGAATAAATGTTCTCTACCCTTGGAAGCAACCAAGAATGTGCCATGTCATATTTAGATTTAAGCTAAAACATAGTATATATTTGCAAAAATAGATGAGAGGCTGACTATGCAAATGGGCAATGGCCAGACCATGTGTCACAACAAAGCTGTGACACACACCTGCAGCAGTCCGGCAAGGCATCCAAGGAAACCACATCCATATCATCTAGCCTGCTCTCTGAGACAGGGTCACTGGAAACCAGCTGACTCAGAAATCCAGGAAGCACAGCCAGTCATGTTGGTGAACGTCTGTAATCCCAGCTTTCACAAGGCTAAGGCTAGCCTGGGCCACCAAAAACAAAAATTCAGGAATAATCCTTGTAACAACCAAAATGACTGCCACTTGAGTAATGCACGTTTCCTCATTTTTGGCCCCATTTTCAACTTAGGACCGACCAGAGCTAAGTATGTACTCTAGACAATCATATGAGGCCTTGCTTCTAGTTAGCTGACCTGCAGCATCTCCAGGTCAACAGCCCCCAATCTGGGCATACCTGAAGTCATTCCTTCTTTTTGTAGCAAGCTCTCTTACTCTTCTGCAAAAGACCAAAGACAACCAACCAGATGCCTACCACAGGAAGCCAGAACCTGATACCTAGGAGGAAGACGGGTTAGGGCACTATGGGGTTAACAGACAGTGATTGCATCCAATTGAAAGGATCAATGGAAGCCACATGCTGGAGGTGTCAAATATTTAGAATGAAGCACGGAAAAATAGTGGGCTTCTCATAGTATATATAAACTCACCGCGGAAAACACTGTAGATGTTCCTAAAAAATTCAAACTAGAAATGTCACACAACCTAGCAGTCCTACTTGTGGGCGTATTTCCAGAGGAATAAGAACTCTGCCAAGGAGATGTCTGCCCACCCATCTCGTTGCAGTACTGTTTACAGTGGATGAAGGGTGGGGATGAAGCCCCCCTCTTCTAGACCCTGCTCCCCGCTCCCCTCTTCCTCTTCAAGGGCCCCTCATCATGAATACAGAGCTTTTTTAAAAAATATTTTTTATTGTGAAAATACTGTACAGAGGGGTTACAATTACACGGGCAAGATAATGAGTACATTTCTTATCAAGCATTGTAGCCTCCTCCTTTGTTTACCCTTCCCATCCCTTCTCAGCCTCCCCCCCCCCCCCCCACCCGCCCCCCAAGTTTTTTTTGAAAAGCAGCAATTTATCATCCAATCTCCGAGGAATGAGTGATCTATCTTCCTTCCTTCTTTCCCTCCCTCCCTCTCTTCCTTCTTTGCATGCGTATATATTTTTGGTGGTCTTGGAGTTTGAACTCAGGCACTGGGGCCTGCTAGGTTGGTGCTGACCACCAAGCCACAGCTCCGGCCCCAGAGGGCCGCGGTGGGCAGGGTGGGGCCAGCAGCCCAGCGGTAGAGTACTAGAAGCAAATGCACCAGTAAGCTTTGGGCTTGCTGAGAGGGACGGGCCTTCAGCCAAGGACGAGGGGGAGGTGGAGACTCGATCCCGGGTCGGGAGGGCTCAAACCCTCACCCACGTAAAGCGCGCGTGGCCGGTTCCTCCAGCTGAGACAGAGTACAAACACCAGAACCGTCCACACGTCGGGACAGAGGGTTGGGCAGCATCCCCGGGAGGCAGGACAGAATGTGGGGTGCGCCTTCCGCTTGCGCCCTTCCTCTTAGGGTCCAGTTCAGGCAGCAGCCTGAGGTGGTCCAGGAGCGAAGGGCAAAATAGCCACACAGACCCCGGGCACCCAGAGGTACCAATTCCTCCAGGCTCCGCCCCTCCCTAGTCTTGGATGGTGGTTGGTCGAGGTGCGCTCTACGTTGCTGGGACCGTATCTCAGGGATGCCTCTGGTTCGTCTCCGCACCCTATGCCCCGCCTCTAAACACGCCCCCTCCCTCTTCCTGGACGGCTATTGGCCCAGGCGCCCTTCCCGTTGCTAGGGGAGTTCCCGAGGGCTGCCACGGGCGCCTCCCGGTGCCTTTCGACCCGCCCCTTCCCTCCACCTTTCCGGTCGCTGTCTCCATGGCGACCGCGGACGCGCCGGTGTAGGTGGCGGTACCCGCTGGTTAGCGACGCCGCGGCCGGGATCCGGGCCGAGGGGAGACCATGTCGGACCTGGGCTCCGAGGAGTTGGAGGAGGAGGGAGAGAATGATCTCGGGGTGAGGGCTCCAGGCCAGGACGGGGCGCGGCGGCGGCGCCCCGGAGCGGGGAGGGCGGCGCGGGCGGGCCCAGCCCGGCGGGGACCGAGCCCGGTTCCCGAGGCCCCGCCGGCCGCGTCCGGAGCGCGGATCGGAGCGGCCCGGCGCCGCGCTCGCGTTCGCTCCCGCGGAAGGCGAAGCTGGGCCGGCGGCCCCTCCTCGCCCGCGGCGGCCCCGCCGCGGCCCGCAGCCTCCCGCCGCCCCGGCCGGCCCCCGCCGCCGCCCCGCGGCCTGTGCACGCGGCCCTCCCCGCCCAAGGCTCGCTCTGGGCTCGGGCAGCGGAGAGGCCTCGGGCTGGAACCCCGCGAGCTCCGACACGCCTCCCTCACACTCCCTGGCCGACCGGCCGTGTGCGCGTGCGCGTGCGCGCAGAGCGTGAGTGTGCGCGTGCGCAAGGACAGTCCAGCTAGTCTTAGAATCCACCGAGCCCTCTAGCCCCGCCCCTGGCGCGCTGCCGACGCCTGCGCAGACCGTCCTGCCAGCCCGGGGCTCCGGTCCCGCGGCCTCTCCCGGTTTTGATCTCAAGGCCCCGGGAGCTCCCGGGGCAGGGCGAGGAGCCGGAAGTGCCCGGGAGTCCCCCCTCCCCCTCCTCCGGGGCAGTGCGATGAGCCGGAAGTGCCTGGGAGTCCCCCCCCCCTCATTCTCCCCCCCCAGCAAGCCTCCCAGCTGTCTCCTCCCTCCTGGGACTCCACTGACATTTTGATGGCCCCGTAACGTGGAAGTCAAGTTCGTATCTGAGTCACTTTGAAGGATTCTTCACTGTGGTGTGGCTCAAGGGGCAGAGCGAGCACAGGGCCTCGAGTTCAAACAACTCGACACAGGAGTTCTCCCTTCCTTGGTCACCTATCCAGGTGGCTGACTACTGGGCATGTTGGGAGCACTGTAGGGTTGGAGGAGAGGCCTCTGGTACACCTCCATTTAGAATAAACCTGGAACAAATGGGTAAGATGTGAGCAGTGTTAGAAAAGGGACGGAATTGTACAGTTGTTTGAGCTTTTTCTTCAATATAATGTGCCTTGTAATAAGTCTAAACAAACTCCAGTTTTACTTTCTTGTTGCTCAGTACTGGGGATTGCATTCAGGACCTCACTTGGCTCTTTACGAAGCTGAATTAGGAGTCAGTGCCGCCCCCAGGGCCTCCAGCCCCTACTATCCCTCCTCACTGAGCCAAAAGCCTTTACAGGCCACAGCCATCCCAGGGATCATTTGAAGGAAAAGTTACCTTTTCCCGGGGATTTGTTTGTAAGTCCTGCGTGTTGGGAGAAAGTGAGCCGGGAGGTGTTTGGGCAGGCTGGAGACCCGTTCTGCACAGGTGGAGTATTCAAGCATATTCCCGTGAAGAACGCAGTATCCCTATCACTGTCCACACTCAGGCTGATTGTGTTTATGGTGTGGAGGATTCCCATACTGAACTGCATGCTCAGATGTTGAAGGAAGCGGGGCTCCCATGGTGGACACCGGCACCACCTGCGCCACCTTGGACCAGTGTTTGATGATTACCTCACCTGTACAGTGGGACCACTGCTGTCCTGAGAACTGGGGGGACAGGGGGATACTATTTGTCAAAAGCCGTCATGGAGGCAGCGCTTCCTGAGTGGTAGCCAGAAGGACCTTCATTTCTTTGACCCAGGAATACGAAGGGGACCGGAATGAAGCTGGGGAACGGCACGGGCACGGGAGAGCTAGACTGCCCAACGGGGACACCTATGAAGGGAACTACGAATTCGGTAGAAGACATGGCCAGGTCAGAGCTGGTGGCGTACGAGGGTGGGCCTCCGGGTTTAATATTCCATTAGCGAATGTGAAATTCCATGTATTTCAGGGAACCTACATATTTAAAAATGGCGCCCGATACATTGGAGAATATGTTAAAAATAAAAAGCATGGTCAAGGCACTTTCATATATCCAGACGGATCCAGATATGAAGGTAAAAAGGGATCAAAGCAGCTTTTGGTTGTGGAAGTTCTTCTTTTCTTGTGCTTGAACTTGACTGTGGATAGTGAACTGTACAAGAAAAGGTTCAAGTTCTCCAGATCACTGTCATTCAGGAGGTAGAGATTGCGTTCCTACGTCCCTGTGGTCCCCATGGTTGATGTAGGCGCTGGTAACTGGCTGACTAACAAACTAACCAGCCTACAGTGGACATGTCACGGTCCCTGTGGGCGGCGCGTGCCCTCCTGTGGGCCTGGGGATGGGAAGCAGTGAATGGTGGCTGCCAGGGAGCCCAGGCTTCTGTGTTGCGCTGTGGCCTGGGCTCCTGTCTCCAGGGCCCTGCATCCCGGTCATCTCCCTGAAGTTCTCTTCTCTGTTTCTGTTCCCCACCGTCCCCTCTTCTCATGCACATGCGTTTCTTTAGGCCTGGCCTTCCTTCAGGGAAGGTCTGTCTGGGAGGTATTGCCTGTGAAGCTGGATTTTTCCATCTCTGCTGTGATTCCTTCCTGCCAATGAACATTGTGCTCTGTTTTTCAAGGATCTTGCTAGTTAGATATAAAATTAATTTGGAGGCTATGAAAGCGTGTTTCTTCTGACAGACTCAATTTTTTCCTTATGAGTGTTTAAAATGATCTTTAAGTAGATGTACAAAGGGGTCTCAACTCAGTCTAGAAGTCCTGTGCTTCTTGGTCAATGCCACCCTTCCTCTGTTCTCCTCATCTCTCCCAACTACTCTCCCATCACCTCAAGTTTTCCTGATGGGGCTTGAACTCTGGGCCTGGGCACTGTCCCTGAGCTCCTTTTGCTCAAGGCTGGCACTCTACCACTTGAACCACAGCACCACTTCCAGCTTTTTCTGTGATTAGTTGAAGGTAAGCGTCTCATGGACTTTCCTGCCTGGGCTGGCTTCGAACCTTGATCCTTAGACCTCAGCCTCCTGAGTAGCTACAGGTGTGAGCCACTGTATCTCCTGATGGATTCATAGTAAGATGCAGACACTGCTCAGAGATTCTTCTCTGACTAAAGTTAAAGTGTCTTGTTTTCACTAGGCAGTGATGGAAACAGTTCAGAAGCTGCAGTGTTAACACCAGCCCAGCAGGTCAGTCTTCTTCTAGCCACACAGCCCAAGGCATGGCCGAGTGATTGATCACCGTGGTTTGGGTTGGCGGCCATCATGATGGGTAGAGTGGTTTTCTGTGGAGCGGATATGTCCAGCCTCAGGACCCCCAGGCGTGAGGCCCAGGATTGGTCTTTGGGAGGATCAGACAGGTCCAACCAAGGAGCCCATGAAGGCACAGAGGCCCCCAGAACCGCAGGGGAAGAGCTGGCAGGCATTCCTGATGGGTGGGGGCCTTGAACAGGGGCAGGAAGGTGGCGGCGCTCACAGGTGGCGAGCAGTGGGGTTGGTTGCAGGGTCGGGTGCCAGATGCTGGTGAGGCCTTAGGCCACTTCAGATCTGGAAGTCTGATGCAGATGGAGGCCAGGTGAGGCTTTGGGGATGGGAAGAGTCTGGCCATGCCGCCCACCTCATGGTACTAACGCAGATAGAGAAGTTCAGCAGCACGGTGTGGAGAAGCGGGAGAGGTTGACATGAGGATCAGGAGCCGGAGGAGAGATGGGCGTGGATGTGCAGGGCGTGCCGAGAGAGCTCGGGACTCTGGAGTCGGCCGTCCAGCCCAGCCGCGTTCCAGCGGTGTGCTCCTGGACTGTGTCCCCTCCCCATCTTCAGAGCACGTGGCCCCTAGGGCACATTCCAAGCGACTGTTCTCAGCGGAGAGCCCAGCCTGGCTTCAGGGGTGCTGTTCCCTGCCCAGAACACAGTGACTAAGCAGCACCTCTCGGGGGAGGGTAATCCTGAGAGCCAGCTTCGAGCCAAAGGTCACAGTGGCAGGGGTTGGCGTCTAGGACCTCTGCTCTCCCAGAGGAAGGCCTCTCCCCAACTCCCCAATTTAGTGCAGGCTGATCCCAAGAAGAGATATGCTCACCCAACAGGCTTGAGGTCCCGGGACTGCAAAACAGTAGAAACTAATCTTCCAAGGACAAGATCCATATTCGTGAGAAAGTACACGAGTAGGTGTAGAAAGACTTTTTTAAAAAACGAAATGCAGCTTTTGGTATGATGGCTCATGCCTGCAATCCCAGCTACTTGGGAGGCAGAGATCCAGAGGATCTCCATTTGAGGTAGCTTGGAGGAGTTAATGAGACCCTGTCTCAAGCAATGAGCTGGGCATAATGGTTCACACCTGTAATTCAAGCTAGTTGGGAAGCTCAGGTAAGAGGATCACAGTCTGAGGCTGGCCGGGAGGGGTGGGGGAGGAGAGGGACCTGAAACCCTATCAAAAAAGTATGAAATAGAGGGCCCAGCATGTGGCTCAAGTGGCAGAGTGTCTGCCTGTCATGCTCAAAGCCCTGAGTTCAAACCCTAGTACTGGAAAAAAGAAAAGTGCAAAGTTAGAGCAATAGTAACACTGTTCTAAATGATCACTTCAGCTGGGTGCTGGTGGCTCATGCCCGTAATCCTAGCTACTCAAGAGTCTGAGATCTGAGGATCGCAGGTTTGAAGCCAGTCTGGGCAGGAAAGTCCGGGAGACTCTGATTGCCAATTAACCACTAAAAAGCTGAAAGTGGAGTCTGTGGCTCAAGTAGTAGAGCACTAACCTTGAGCAAAAGTGCTCAGGGACAACGCCCAGGTCTTGAGTTCAAGCCCCAGGACTGGCAAATGTGCGTGCATGCCAGTGGGTGTGCCCGCACCCGCACCCACACCCACACCCACACCATTGACTTCAGTAAAGGAGTTTTGAACTCAGTCACTGAAGAGCTGCCCAGAAGGTGACCTTTCTCTGCGTCACCTCAGGCAAGACTCGCTGTGCTGGGTGAAGTCTCTAAAGCCTTTTATTGCTTTCAATGTGTTCACCAGTCCTGGCTGGCGTGAGGTTTACGTGTGTTTTGCAATTTAATTGGCCTTCCGTTTTTTAAAAGTTTCTGCACAACGCGTAGTGATCACCTTGTCATACTGCCCGGGGACCACCGGCTCGGGTGGGCCGAGAAGGGTCTAGTACTTTTGTCACAGCCTTTTGCGGGAAGAACCCAAATGACAGGACTGTCGAGCCGAGCTCTCTGCCCCATGGCTGTGTGGGGCTGGCTCAGAACCGCTCACAAAAGCCAACTTGGAGCAAACCCCAACTCCACATGTAGCTTGGAATTTGTGGCGGCGAGACCATTTCCACCAAACTGGCGAGCGCTGCGAATGCAGGCGCCGTGCCCCAGCTTAAGGTCGGGAAAATGGCCGCAGCCTCTGTCCACACTCTGGGCCTCATGGTGGGGGTGGCCTGCCCAGGTTGGGCCCCCTGGTGTGGGGGTGGATGCCGCCTCCCCTGGCACGGTGGCTCTGTCCCTTCGTGGGCCAGCTCGCTTTCTTAGCTGTGAGCCGTGCCCCCTTCTCTTGGTGGATTTTTGGTAACCTTCCTTTCCGATCCGTTGCCCACTGCCATGTCCTGTGGTGGGCACTTCCTGCAGCCTCACCCTCTGCCGGCCGTTCACGCGGGCCTCTGTCCCCGAGCACAATGCAAGCAGAAGTCGGATGCTGCCCTCATACCAGGGCTCTTCCGGCTGGTCAAGTGCATAGGGTGTGGCAGATGCTGAGTAAATATGGAGTGGTTGAAGAAGCAGGTAGACATTCATTTTGTAGATAAACTTTGGAGTTTATTCATAGGAACACACACTGCTTGGGTAATTAACGTGTGTGTGTGTGTGTGTGTGTGTGTGTGTGTGTGTGTGTGTGTATGTCCATACCGGGGCTTGAACTCAGCCTGGGAACTGTCCCTTAGCTTTTTCCACTTAAGGATAACACTCTACCACCTGAACCACAGCTCCACTTCTGGATTTTGGATGATTAATTTCAGACTTTTCTGCCTAGACTGACTTCAAACTTTTATCCTCCTATCTCAGACTCCTGATTTGCTAGGATTACAAGTGTGGGCCGCCGGCGTTTGGTCATGAGGTTCTTTTAAGCTAAAGCCTGCCACACGTCCAGGATTGCTTCCTGCACTCTAACACTTCTCATTACGTCCCTGCAATAAAATACCTCCCCATGTTTTCTCTAGAGAGAATAGGCTATTTTTTTCCATTTTGACAAACGCGTTGATCAAAATTAGGTTTAATATTCAAGTTCTGAGAAGTGTTGTTCAGCATGCTGACTGATGGGCGATGTGGAATGGTAGAGAACTTGTCTGCGTTGGGCAGCCCGGCTGGGTTTCTGCAGCTCTTTCTAGGGCGGTGGTACGAACGGCCTTTGAGTTTTTGCTCTGCACTTGCTTGGCAAGCTTGCCGCCATCCTCACTGTTGAGGTTAGGTGAGGAGTTTGATGTCTTTGCTGGCTTCGGCACTGACCAGGACCCCAGGGATGGGGAGCACTCGGGCAAGGCTGGTGCAGATGTGGAGCATGCGCTCAGCTGGTCAGCCACGGGCCATGGCACAGAAGGGGGGTGCTGGAGCCAGGAGCCCAGGAGAGAGAGAGCCTGGGGTGCCGATGGACACCGAGGCGGGGCCCCCTGGACAGACACCATGGCTTTGCCGCTGGGTAGCCAAATCCTTGCAAGGCCAAAGAAGCAAACTAGGATCTCTGGAAATGGGTCAGACAAGCTTGTTTGGATCCTAACTACTCCCTGAGCAACCCGTGACCATGTCGGTACCTGCAGAGCGCTGAGGCCTACCTCCCCCGACCCATGCCCAGTGAAGCCCTGACTCCTTAGCCAGTGCTCCTTAGCTGGCCAACACCTATGTCAGGGGACAGGAAGGCATCAGGGGAGAGGGTCAGGGGCCTCACCCCTGCAGTGATGGCTCCCTCTTCTGCAGATTGTTTGGTGTGTCTCTGTGTCACTGGGGCTGGAACTCAGGGTCTGGTTGTTGTCCCTTAGCTTTTTCTCCAGGCTGGGGGTGCTCTTCCACTTGAGCCACTGGCCCCTTCCAGCTTTTTGGTAGTTAACTGGAGATGAGTCTTTGGGATTTGTCTACTTGGTCCCCAGATCACGGCAGGAGCCAGGAATAGCAGCTCCTCTGCTAGGGCCCTCCCCATAGGGAGCCCGGAAGGAGCTGTGCATGACCCTGCCTCTCACTGGCTTGCTTGCATTGTGCCTTCCAGGCGAGTGGGTGGATGACCAGCGGCACGGCCATGGCGTGTACTACTACATCAATAACGACACCTACACCGGGGAGTGGTTCAACCACCAAAGGTTCGGCTCCGCCTCCTCCCGCGCAGGCTTCCTGTGGAATGAGCTAGGGTGCCGCCTTCAGGTGGTCCACCCCCACTGGGAACCAATCACCATCAAAGCCCCTTTGCCCCCTCGCCTCCACTGCTGACCTGTCCCTGGGTGCAGGACAGTGCTGGGGATGGCAACTGTCTCCCCCTAGTGGAGGAACCGCGGTCTCGCGGCGCAGGACCCGGGGATCCTTCCCCCAGAAGCCCCAGGGAGTGTGGGCACAGTGGACCCAATGCGGGACAGGCCAGAGCCACCCATCCCAGTGCTGTGTGTGTGCGTGCCTGTGTGTGCGTGCATGTATGTGTGTATATGTGTATGCATACATGTGCATGCATGTGTGCAGTGTGTGTATGTGTACGTGTATGCAGTGTGTGCATGTGCATGCATGCAGGTGCATGCACACACATATGTGCGCATGCATGTATGTGTGCATGTACGTGCATGTGCGTGCACATGTGTGTGTATGCAGTGTGTGCATGTGCATGCATGCATGTGTGCACGTGTGTGCACGTGTGTACGCATGTGTGCATGTGTGCATGCATCTGCATGCGTGTATACACGTGTGTGCGTGTATGTATGCACTGTGTGTGTATGTGTGTGTACTGGAGCTTGAATTCAGGGCCTGAGCACTGTCCTTCAGCTTTTAGGATCAAAGCTGGTACTCTACCACTCGAGTCCCAGCTTCACTTGAAGCTTTCTGAGGGTTAATTGGAAATAAGGATCTCTCGGATTTGTCTGCCTGGTCCGGCTTTGTGCCGCACTCCTCAGCGCTTGGCCTCCTGAGCAGCTGGGATTACAGGCGAGAGCCACCGGCTCCTGGCTGGCAGACACAGAGAAACCCGGTGGCTTGTGAGCTGGCCCCCGCGGTCCCCACATCTGGGCTGTAACCAGAGGTTTCTGGAATGCCAGGACAGAACACAGCGTGTCCCTGTCTTCCCAGGCACGGGCAAGGCACCTACTTCTATGCGGAGACGGGCAGTAAGTATGTCGGAACCTGGGTGAACGGGCAGCAGGAGGGTGCCGCCGAGCTCATCCATCTGAACCACAGGTACCAGGGCAAGTTCCTGAACAAAAACGTAAGTCCTGTGCGACCCCCTCTCCTAGCTGGTGCACCCCTGTGCTACTGGGGAAAGAAAACACCAGAGCAGCCTCCTCTTCCCCCACCTTGGGCAGGAGACCTTCCTGAGCCTCCGATGCACACAGAGGACAGTGGGCGGGGGGCGGGGCATGGTGGGGAGACGCTGCCAGCCCCAGCGGTGCTGTGCGGCGTTGCTAAGTTACAGGACAGCTTAGCCTCTCCTGCGCTCCTGTTTGCAGGTAAAGCAGCCCCCCGTCTTCATCTCCTGCAGCTCAGTGTGTAGGTGTCTGGCTTGGTTTCCCTGGGAGGAGTGTGCGGCGCCCTCTGCAGCTGCAGGCCGGCCCGCGCTGCTGCTCTGGAGGGGTGCGGGGAGTCCAGAGTGCCTGCCCGGGTCTGGAAGCTTCCCTGGTGCTGTGCCAACCACTGGCCGTTTGTGTTTGGGGGACTCTGGTTTTCCCACCTCATATAGAGCACTCCTGGATGCTGAGAGACCCTGAATAACCCAGAGCCCACCTGAGGGCATTTGTGGGGGCTTTGAGGGATCTCGGGTGGAAAATCCCTGAAGGGAGGTTTGTTGGCCTTAGACGCTTATCGGGGAACGTGCAACTGAATGAAGTTGCCCAGCTTTCCCTACACAGAGCGCTCACTCTCTTCGTTAACATGGAAGCCAGTCTAGACGGATCTGAGACCGAAGCTGGAGGCTTCGTCCTGCTAGTTAGGAAACGATTTACAATTCTACACACAGCGCGTGAGGACATTCCGATCGTAAAGCCCAGGCACTAGCATGGGCTCCTTCTTCCCCTCCTTCCTCCCTCTTTCCTTCCCCTTCCTCTACGCCCCCCCCCCCTTCTCGAGTGTGTATCCTCCTCCTCCTTGAGTGTGCACCACATACATGCACACGCACAGAGCTTGTGCACAATGGTCAGGTGGGGATCTGAATCACACAAATTGGACACAAGGATGCATTGTCCTTTTGCATGCTTGAGGGTGCTGCAGAGGCCGAGTGGAGGCTGAGCAGAGGCCCGGCCTGCACGGAGGCCCGGCCTGCACGGCGCCCTGCATCCTTCCCCCAGGCTGGGAGAGGCCCGTGTGCTGCAGTTCCGCTTATCTGACCCTGGAGAATTCAGGAGAGAGAGCATAGCCCATCCCCAACAGGCCAGTGTGGGCCGGGTGGCGAGCGAGCTTAGAAATGACCATGTCCCCTCCCATTCTGTGTCATTCAGCCCCTCTGAGATTAGACCGGCCACCTTGGCTCGGCTCATCACAAAAATCCTTCTGTTTGGTAGAAAGAGGTGCTCCCCAGCGCCAGGTTTATCAATATAGAGCAATAAGATATTTAAACATCTTTAAATAGTTATACAAAGGTCTCATCTCAACACATCAGCTCATGTGGACAGAACGTCCTACTGAGTTCCAGCTTTCTATCACTACCCCTTTTCCCTTTTTCCTTTATTTCTTGAACTCCAGGCCTTGCTCCTTTGCTTGGCTTTTTCACTCAAGGCTGGCGCTCCACCAGTTGAACGACCCCTCCAGTTCGATTATTTTGTCTTTTTAACAAGAGCATTTCTTCAGATTAGAGAAGAGACTTGCTGATGTACAAGTGCTATGTTAAAGTCACAAGACAGGGACAGTCACCCCACATCCTCCTCCACGGGGGAGAGGGGGCAAGCGCCAGTCATGAGCACCGAGAGGTCTGACGGCGCAGAGCCTTGCCCCGGCCGGGGCGGTTCACGGGCACCAGCGAAGTCGGACAGTTCCACACTCGCTGCGCTGGTTTCTGTTTCCTTCCTAGATGACTGGTTTCTGTGTTTGCTGATGAGTCGTTCAAGAAGTGTGGAGCAGGGCAAAGAGGCAGAGAGGAGGGGGGAAGGTTAGACAGCGTGAAGACAGGTCCAAGCGGAGAAAAGAATTGAGGCTTGGGCAGGGCATGGACGCCTCACAGGTGTGAACCTGATTACTCACAGAGCTGGAATCTGAGGGTCTCAGTGTGTAGCCAGCCCAGCCGGGAAAGTCTTACCTCCAATTAACCACCAAAAAGCTGGGAGTGGAGCTGTGGCTCAAGTGGCAGAGCAACAACTTTCGGTGAAAAAGTCAAGGGAGAGCAAGAAACCTTGAATTCAAGCTCCAGAAACAGTGCGCATGCGCGCGTGCACCCCCCCCCCCCCAAATTGAACATGTGGGAGCTCTCAGTTTGGGTGAAAAGGTAGCGATGGTGGCCAGGAAGTGTGTCCTGGGGCCCTTGGGAATCGAGGGGGGAGGAATAAAACAATTTTGTCTCACATAGATGAAGGAACTTTCTAGAAGATATAACAATTTAAAGGTAACCAAGAAAATCACCTGTGGGGAAAAATAGGTGAATATTAATTAACTTTGAAATGGGGAGAGGGCAACTTCTAAACAGATAAGCAAAAGCCAATAGATTTAGCTTCATAAGAACTCTTTAGGGGCTGGGAAGGTGGCTCAGTGGTAGAGCGCTTGCCTTGCATGCATGAGGCCCTGGGTTCGATTCCTCAGCACCACATAAACAGAAAAAGCCGGAAGTGGCAGTGGGGCTCAAGTGGTAGAGTGCTAGCCTTGAGCTGAGGGACAGTGCCCAGGCCCAGAGTTCAAGCCCCACGACCAACAACAACAAAATGAACTCTTTGTAGGTTAGAAAACACTATAAAAATGTATGAGATGATTGACAGCTGGAAATGAGGATATTTGCCATATAAAGCGATATTTAATATTTAAAGCTCTTGCATTTATCATCGTGGTTTAAGTGATCCCTATGAAGAGGTGTCCATTCTTATGTTAACTAACAGTGCTTACTGTTTAGAAATGGTTACTACTGAGTTCACTATTATGCAATACATGTCTGTATGAAATTACCACACATGAGCTCAGAAAGTTGTACAATTAAAACAATTCTTTAAAAAGGTATTTAAAAATCTAAAGAAATACAGTCTCACAAGTAGCATAACAGACCCAATTGAAAATGAAGAAGTTTAAACTGGGAAGTTTAAACACAAAAGCCATGTAAAGGGAGAACAAAACATTAATACCCAAGAACAACAGGACTTTGAAGTTGTGGGAGCTCATAAACGTTGTTAAAATGAAACTGTTAAAGCCTCATTCTGGTCAGAGTAAATATTTTACGCAAGGATTGTACTTGTGTGTTTCCTTGTGTAATTAATTCCTGGTATAATTAGTTTTTCCTCATTAAGAGCCTACAGAAAGATTTAAGTGTAACCAACATGTGCTTGCTTTAGCATTCTTTGTCAAAGACAAACACTGGCATTGCAAATAACAAGAGGGAATGATGAAAGATTGCCATTCTTAGATGAAACAAAACACCGCACTGGCCTGTGGGGACACTTGTAAGTGGGCAGCCAGTTATGCCTGCTTCTAAGAAAAAGTAGAGTCTATATGTGCAATTATGACCCAGTTTTTGTTTTTCTTAAAAATCTCTATGTTCTAGAAACAGAGTTGTGAAGAATGTAATTTACCTTTTCAAATGTAGTAAAAATGTGGTTAAGGTCTTAAAAAAATAAGACAGGACATGTAGTCTGTGACTCCTGGGCCCTTACTTCACAAAGCATTTTTGGTCCCTGTTACTCTGTGTGTGTGTGTGTGTGTGTGTGTGTGTGTGTGTGTGTGTGTACTCATGTGCATGCGCATGCACATGTGTACCAATAATGGGACTTGAACTCAGGGCTCAGGCACTGGCACTCTACCACTTGAGCCATACTTCCAGCTTTTTGCTGGTTAATTAGAGATAGGAGTCTCTATGGAGTTTCCTGCCCAGGCTGGCTTTGAACCTTGATCTTCAGATATCAGCCTCCAGAGCAGTGAGGATGACAGCTAGCCGGTGTCTGGCTAATCCCTGTCACTCTTACCCAGTGGTGGGGGCGGGGACAAGCTTCTTGGTGGAGATATTGGGCAAGCAGGCTTTGTGTTCTCTTGGATCTCGAGCCCCCAGAGTGATGTGCTTCGGCTTTCTCTGCCCACAGCCCATCGGCCCTGGGAAGTACGTGTTTGACATTGGATGTGAGCAGCACGGAGAGTACCGCCTCACAGACGTGGTAAGCTGGAGCGACGCCGCTCCCTGCAGCCGCAGCCGCAGCCAGCGAGCTGCTCAGGCGCCGTGAGCCCCAGGTGAAGCTGACTGGGAACACACCCGGGTCATTGCCCCTCATTGGCGTGTGCTTGAGCGGGACCCAGTTTCAAGGACTAACCCTTCATACCTGGGCACAGCGACTGCTCATGCTGGGGGGAAACACAGCTCCCAGACGTGCCGCGAGGCCCGTCACCAGGCTCACCACAGTTTGCCATCGCCCGAGCTGTTCCCGCAGCGCCGTGAGCTCTCGCTTCAGACAGATGACCGAAAGTTGGCACCAGAGCCATGTTTTTCAAAGAGCATGTTGCAATCCATCCATGTGTCAGAACAGCAGCTTAGCGGATTATGAGCAATAGTTAAAAAATAGGATACACAATGGAATAGAACGAGAATAGAAATCCTGAGGGCATTTTGTTGGAGTGACAGATGCCTGAATTGTGTTTCTGGTGTGCACATGCTGAGTGTCACCTGCACAGTCACAGGCAGACAGGCCCAGGCTGCTTCCACAGCCCTTGCCGGGAAATGGTTATGAGCTTTGAAGTTTGGATCATTTTTATCATGGCCAGGCTACTACTTAACACATAGACACATGTGTGCGTGCACACAGCTATACCACATCCCTGTATTTGAGTGGTCCTTCTAAATGATAGTCTTTCTCCTCTTACATAAAATGATATGCCTTTCCTGTGTTCCTGGGATGTCACACTCAAGTCCAGACCCACAGCTTACCCACAGCATCTCTTGTGCATGCTGGAGTCCGGAAGTCGATGCTCCCGGGGCGGCAGGGCTCTTCCTCCTGAAGCTCAGCAAGGCAGAACTTCTCTCTTGCTTTTGCTTTTAATTTTTGTCGGTTGTGGGGCTTGAACTCTGGGCCCGGGCGCTGTCCCTCAGCTCTTCAGCTCAAGGCAAGTGTTCAACCACTTGAGCCACAGCGCCACTCCCGGTTTTCTGAGTGGTTTATTGGAGATAAGAGTCTGACAGACTTTTCCTGCCCAGGCTGGCTTTGAACCGCGATCCTCAGATCTCAGCATCCTGAGTAGCTAGGATTTCAGGGGTGAACCTCTGGCGCCCGGCTCTCCCCTTCTTTTGCAGATGGCCTTTGCCTTAGCTGTCTAGCACTGTGAAAAAACACCCACGAAAAACCATTTAAAAGGAGGAAAGGTGTATTTTAGTTATAACTTCAGAGGCTTCAGTTCATGATCACTTGGCCCTGATCCAAAACAATGAAATAGTTTCAAAGGAAGTGTGTGATAGACAGCGAGACAGAGACAGATGGAGAGGCTGGTCAGCACTCGAAGAGGAGAGGGGGAGGAGAAGCAGCGGGTCCCGGCCCAGCCCCCTCCAGTTCAGGTTCAAGCCTCACTGACCCACGTCTCCAACTAAACTCCACCTGTGTTTCCACCACCTTCCAATAGTGCCATTGGCTGGGAGCCAAGTCTTTAACACATGAACTTTTGGGGGACACTGCCTATTCAAGCTATAATGGGTTACCACTGGTCCCCAAAGATTCATGGCCGCTTCATCATGCTAAATGCATCCAGTCCATCTCCAAGAGCTCCCCAGGCCTGCCCCCTAACAGCATTGTCCGGGAGACCAAACCTGAGACTCCAGACTGCTGTTAGCTGCCAGCCCCTGTAAAACCACACACTGACATACTCCAGCACCTCCACCCAAGGTGAGCAGCCCCCGGCCCTGGAGGCCTAATCCTGCAGGGGGCGCTGTGTGGGCCGGCTCTGGGGCTCTCAGGCCAGTCCTGCAGATGAGTTTATACCTCTGCATCCTGAGCTGAAGGTTGAGCTGCACGCCCTCGATCGTTTTGCCTCTGTAGGTATCCGACTCTAGGTCTGATTCTCCTTTTCAGTAGACACTCATTATATGGATTAGGGCCGATCTTAATGACTCCGTTTTTACTGGGTAGTTTCTGGAAAGACCCTATCTCCAAATAAGGTCATATTCTAAGGTATTGGAAAGTTAATCCTTCACCATGTCTTTTTTTAACACTGAGGAAGCCGACTCTGAGACGGAGCTGGGCATGTGCGGTTTATTGTGGGGATGGGGAAGTGTTTGGGCCAATGGCTGTGAAATAGAGGGGGAAACCCTGGACAGGACCGGACAGACGCAGCGGTCGGCATGCGTGACGTCACGACCTGGGCAGCTTTGCAGAGGGTGGCCTTTCCGAGATCCGTGGGGTGAGGGACTGACTCTCTTGGGAGGCGCCCAGCTGTGAGCCGGCCCCACAGCCGAGGAAGGAGATGCTGGTGCAGTGTCACTTGGGAATCCGTCAGGAAGGCAGAGTTACCGGCCACAGTCAAGTCCTCGATGATGCGTCAGAAGTTCTGTGAGGGGATGAGCCATCGGCGTGGAAGGAGCCGTCTCAGTGATTCCAAGTCCCACAGCCGGGGTGTTACCGTGTGGGGGACAAAACCTAGAAAACATAAAGCCAACTAGAGGAGTTTCTCTCAGAGTAACTCCAAGGAGCAACAGGCAGGCTGGTGGCACTCGTGCGCAGGGATCGTGGGTGGCCCATGGGAATGGTCCGTATTTCTGTGTTTTCCGTCTGTCCACCTGTTTGGAATTTTGGGATCGTTGCAGAACTAAGAGTAGAAAACATATGTCCAGCAAGTACTGTTGGGATTGCACGTAACTATAAAACCTGCCACATGTAGGACTGACCTCCCATGTTGCTTTAGTTTTTCTTACCCGCAGTCTTTGATGTGGATGGAGTCTGCACGTGCACTCGGTGGCATTATATGGACAGCTAGGAACTTGGTGGTCCTTTGGCTGTCAGATCTAGAGACATGCCTGGGCTGCTGCAGAGCGACCCCCACGGCTGGGTGTGTGGAGCCCCAAAGCTGGGCACCATTCTGCTCTGTGGCATCTTCCTCATCCAGTTCTTGCAAGATCTGTGCTTAGCCCCTAGACGACGCTGTGGGGGACGGCCAGCGTGTTCCGATGGCTGGATAGTGCCATGAGAACCGCGAGCAGTTCAGAGCCGGTCTCGTCTTTCTTGGCTTTTACTATTCTAGACCAAGGTCAATTTAGGGTAAATTTATATTTGTTTTTGCCCTTAGGAAAGAGGAGAAGAGGAGGAGGAGGAGGAAACATCAATAAATATTGTTCCCAAGTGGAAAGCTATAAAAATCACAGAATTGGCCCTGTGGACGCCGACTCTCCCCGAGGAGAAGCCTGTCGTAGAGAAACATGTCCTGGAGGAGGCTGCAGGACCCGAGGGTACGGACGCCGGGCCCGGGGTGCGGGCCCCCGATCTGTGGGCATGGACGCTCTGGGTCTGGGGATACGGACGCCCCAGTTGAGGACACGGATGCCCACACCCTGGGCTGCGGCTGCCCGTCCCCACGCGCCACGCTCAGCCCGTCCCCACGCTCAGCCTGACCCCACGCGCCACGCTCAGCCCGACCCCACGCGCCATGCTCTGGGCTGCGGCTGCCCGACCCCACGCGCCACGCTCTGGGCTGCGGCTGCCCGACCCCACGCGCCACGCTCAGCCCGACCCCACGCGCCACGCTCTGGGCTGTGGCTGCCCGACCCCACGCGCCACGCTCAGCCCGACCCCACGCACCACGCTCTGGGCTGCGGCTGCCCGACCCCACGCGCCACGCTCTGGGCTGCGGCTGCCTGACCCCACGCGCCACGCTCTGGGCTGCGGCTGCCCGACCCCACGCGCCACGCTCTGGGCTGCGGCTGCCCGACCCCACGCGCCACGCTCAGCCCGTCCCCACGCGCCACGCTCTGAGCTGCGGCTGCCCGTCCCCATGCGCCACGCTCAGCCCGTCCCCACGCTCAGCCCGACCCCATGCGCCACGCTCTGAGCTGCGGCAGCCCGACCCCACGCGCCACGCTCAGCCCGTCCCCACGCGCCACGCTCAGCCCGTCCCCACGCTCAGCCCGTCCCCACGTGCCACGCTCTGAGCTGCGGCTGCCCGTCCCACGCGCCACACTCTGAGCTGCGGCTGCCCGACCCCACGCGTGTCCGTGGAGGCGAGGCGGGCAGGGTGTCACGAGGCAAGCTCAGGATCTGGTGCGAGGACGGGGACAGGAGGGCAGCGACACAGGACTGGACACGGGGCGCAGGTGGCTGTGATCTTGGGGAACTCCCGGGGGAAGCAGGGCACCTCTGCTCAGAGCCTGGGCGTGGTGGGGTTCTGGGGGTGGCCGACAGCCGCTGAAGTGGCAGGTCCTGCATAGAAGAAGGACCCCCGGAGCCGTTGCTTGTCCAGACAGAGTGACGCTCCTGCTGCAGCTGCGGCCAGAGGCCAGCTGGTGGCTGAGGGCGAGTAACACGGGCACTCCAGGGGCCTGCTGCTGTCCGTAACTGGGGGTTCGGAGACAGAGAGCTGGTCTCTGCTCTCTGCGGGCATTGTCTTCCCTTGGGACAGGAGTGGCCATCACCCTTGCCACATTGTCGCACAGCCAGCTCAAGAGCCCTAAGGCCAGAGGCCTCGTTCTCCACGTGCGGTGCGTGAGACGCGTTCTCCGTGCAGGGTCTCAGACCCAAGGCGTCTCTGCCGGTGCTTCACCGCAGCGTGGCAGGGCCTCTGCTGGGCAGGCCGGGGCTGGGGGGGGGGGGCGCAGGCAGAGTCAGGGGTACCCTGAAGGAAAGCAAGCACAGAAGAGTGGGGGGTGCCAGAAAAGGTGAGGGCCGGCCACCCGAGCCTCAGGGCTGCGCCCCCTCCGCCCACCATCCTCACTCCACCCTTTGCTCTGTGCCAGGGGCCGGGGAGCTCGTGGAGGAAGCCCCGGTGGCATCAGAAGGCTTCGAGGGGGAGATAGACCTGAGGTCTGGAGACGAAGACGCAGACGTCTTCCAGCAGGAGAGCCGCGAGTACAGTTACGACGCGGACCAGGGTGAGGACACGCGCCCCGCAGGGCACAGACTGGGGAACTTGGCCTCTCCTCCCTCACCGGGCCCCCCCTGGTCCAGGCCCCAAGGACTGACCGCTGTGGGGATGCTGTTACCCCCCCCCCCCCGTCCTCCCGTGTAGGGGGGCACGTGGGGACTGGCCTGCATGGGTCGTGGGGAGGAGGCTGCCCTGTGCCTAGACTCGGGATGGAGCTTTATCTTACACTGTGATTTGTTCCATGGCTGTCGTGGGAAGGGGACCCGTGGCCAGCAGCGCCAGGCACTGGCGAGTTCTTTGAGATCTGGATCTGCAGTTATCTGGCAGTGTCTGTCTCCACTAGCCCTAGGTCAGAGTCTGCCCGGGACCAGAGATGTGTCAATATTCAAAACTCTTGCTCCTGTGCTCGCTAGCACGGCCGAGAGCGTGAGAGGGCTGTCTTCTCCCAGTTCCACTTCTAGGCCCGAAGCCCTAAGGCAGGTGGCATGGTGTACGAAGGACACTGCCCGCTTCCCCTGGCTCTAGGCCACACCGTTGGATCCGGGGCATGTTCCGGTTTGGCCTCTTGTAAATTACGAGTGAATGAATAAGCTGGGAACTGGTGGCTCACACCTGTGATCCTAGCTACTTCAGAGATTGAGATGTGGAGGATCACAGTTCAATGCCAGCCTGGGCAGAAAAGCCCATGAGATGCCATCTCCAAAAATGTCAATAAAAAACAGGGCTGGAGGCATGATCCAAGTGGTAGAGCACAAGGCTCTGTGTTCAAACATCGGATCAGTATTGCAAAAACAAGTGAATTGATTTTCTATTCTTTAAAATATATCTGAAATAATTTTTTTAACTGTATTTTTTTGTCTTTTCTTTTTTGGTACTGGGGATTGAACCCAGGACGTTGCACTTGCTAGGCAAGCACTTTGCCACTGAGCTACATCCCAGCCCTATATCTGAAATGATTTAAATTGGACAAAATAGTCTCCCGTGTAAACACACACAGACTTTTCTAACAACACTTAGCTTAAATATTACAATGACACACAAAAGAGGCATTCTTTGGCTAAGTGCTATGCTGGCTGTATCCTGTCTGCTTTTCGTAGACAGTGGGTATTTTGGCCCATCCCAGGTAGACGCCCACAGGGTTCCGTGGGGACTGAGAATGGGCACCGGCACGCTCCTGTCCTTCCCTCATCCAGGCTGTCGGTCCTCGGTGTGAGGGGCTGGGTGTGTGACGCAGAGGTGTGGCTGTCACCCTCCAGAGCTGTCTAGTTCCCACTGGCTTCCAAGACCGCAGGTGTGGGGACAGCCTGAGACCACAGGCACGTGGCTTCCGTGCAGGGATCGCCCTGGGGGACACATGTGGGGCTTGCGCCCTGGGATGCGAGGCTGCGCTGTACCCACCTGGGCTGGCAGGGGGAGGACCAAGGAGGGCGGTGCCCGCCACACAGCTCAGTCTAGCCCAGGGTTACCTTTGGCCAAACACAGATCAAGAAGAGGCGTGGAGACAGCACGCACTGACCTCCAATGGTAACAATAGATCACTTTCATCAGGGCTGGGAAGGTGGCTCAGTGGTAGAGAGCTTGCCTTGCATGCCTGAGGCCCTGGGTTCGATTCCTCAGTGCCACATAAGCAGAAAAAGCTGGAAGTGGCACTGTGGCTCAATGGTAGAGCACTCGCCTTGAGCTGAAGAGATGAGGGACAGTGCCCAGGCCCAGAGTTCAAGACCCACGACCAAAAAAAAAGCAATAGATCACTTCCACCAACATAATAGAAATTCAAGATCTGTTCATCACGATTCCCATGTGACGTCTGTCTACCCACAAGTTCTTCACTAGTGAGAGTTATAGCCCCTACTTAGAAAGTTCTGAATTTCACGAAACGAAATATAAAAGCGAAACGATGACAATGTTTAGCCATCAAGTCGTTGCTTTGATGGATAGCTTATTCAGGTAGGAAGGAATCATTACTACCTCACATGTGTTCTTGGCTTAGGATTCCCCTGGAGTGAAACAAGCCTTTTGCTGATTTTTTCCCACTGGTTCCAAAAGAGGAGTCTGGATAAATTTAACTTTCCAGATTTTCCTGTTATGCCCCATCGTTACAGTAGCTCTGCCGCGAACATCTATTAGTGGATTGAGAATCTTAAAAGTCAATCAAGGTTACCATGGCTTACACCGGTGCGTCTGTTTTCTTCTCAGGAAACATGAGCTTTGAGGACGAAGGTCGATTCTCAGACCTGCAAGACTGAGAGCCCGCAGGTGGCACACGCCAGAAGCCGGCCTGATTTACCCTCCACCACTCCCCCCCCCACCGCCTCCCCCAGGGCAGGTGCCGGGCAGATGTTCAGTTGTTTGTTTATGGTTGTAAATAAATCTCCTGTTGTCCTTTGGTTCTGGTGGAGCCCCTGCCGCTCCTCAGGGCTCCCGCCGCTGGTCTGGACTTTGTGTGATGACAGGGACGTGGTGGCCACTCTGTGGTGAGGGTTATGGGATGTGGGCTTCTGGCTAAGCTATGAGATACTGCCCCCCCCACCTCCCGCCAGATGAGGAGACACCTGGAAGACAAGTGGTACCGTGTGCCCTGCTCACGGGCCAGTGCCGGGCGTGTGTGCAGGTCCTGGGGCGGGGCTCTGCCTCCCCCTCGCCATGAACTCCAGTGCCCCCCACGGGCCTCCTGCCACCCGCCAAGGGACAGGGCTGCCCACAGGCCGGCGTGGACTGTGCACCCGGCCTCAGGCTCCCTCCCCGTCCCAGCGTGTCCCTGTCACTGCTGTGTGCTCACATCCAGCCTCTGCTTCCTCTCCCCGGAGCCGTGTGCACCCCTGCTGTAGCTCCCGGAGAAGCCTTACACCCTCCCCTGCAACCCTGCAGCCCATCCACCTTCCCCTGCCCCTTGGCTCCTCTGATGCCTGGTGTGAGCCCCCGCTTCGCCTCCTCTCCCCCAGCCTGGTGTGAGCCCCCGCTTCGCTTCCCCCGGCCCGGTGTGAGCCCCTGCTTCGCCTCCCCTGGCCTGGTGTGAGCCCCCGCTTCGCCTCCTCTCCCCCAGCCTGGTGTGAGCGCCCGCTTCGCTTCCCCCGGCCCGGTGTGAGCCATCGCTTCACCTCCCCCAGACTGATGTGAACCCCTGCTTTACCTCCCCTGGCCTGGTGTGAGCCCCTGCTTCGCCTCCCCTCCTCCAGCCCGGTGTGAGCCCCCGCTTCGCCTCCCCTGGCCCGGTGTGAGCCCCCGCTTCGCCTCCCCTGGCCCGGTGTGAGCCCCCGCTTCGCTTCCCCCGGCCCGGTGTGAGCCCCCGCTTCGCTTCCCCCGGCCTGGTGTGAGCCCCCGCTTCACCTCCCCTGGCCTGGTGTGAGCCCCCGCTTCGCCTCCCCTGGCCTGGTGTGAGCCCCCGCTTTGCTTCCCCCGGCCTGGTGTGAGCCCTGCTTCACCTCCCTCGACCTGGTGTGAGGCCCCCCGCCCCGCTCCCTCCAGGCCAGCGTTGGAGTGGGTCATGCGCCGCAGCGTGGGTTGCATTCCTAGACGTGGTCCTGCAAACACCATAAGCTGTGCACCTGTGCTCCGGCCTCTTCAGGCTAAAGCACCCAGCATTACAAGCAGACATGAAAGCACCGGCCGCAGACCCCGCGTGTACCACTTTATTGACATTACAGCTCTTTCAGTGGGCGCAGACTCGCCTAGAGAGACCGAAATAGAAAAAGGAAAAGCGACCAGGCTGTACCTCACGAAGCGCTTAGAAAATCAAGCGCCTGCGCCCTGGTCTGCAGAACCTGGGAAGGAGAGTCCGGGCCTCCTTCCTGCCCGCCAGGGTGCAGGTTGCCGTGGTGAGCTGGGCGAGCTCGGCGTGGGGGCGCTGCTCTGCACTCCTGCAGCTCAGCCCCAGCACGACACGCCCTGGGCGGCGCAGTGGCAGGGATATCCAGATGGGTTCATGCTTCTCCAGGTCTCCACGTCCACTGCACACCAGCGGCGGGGCCGGGTGGCTCTGCCCAAAGTCAGCACCGCCTCCCCACGGGGGGATGAGGAGGGGCAGGTTGGCTCAGTGGGCTGAGATCCAGTTCCTCCAGTTGAAGGCCGAGTTGGCCCCATGTGTCAGCGTCTTCACCGGCGGGTTCACCAGCTCCCATCGGCCCTGCTCCTGGTTTTCTTCGCAGAAGCACATTCCCAGAGAAGGGATCTGGAATAGAGTGTGAAAGCCATCCTAGACCAAGCCAATCAACTTCGGAGTAGCTCTACACCATCTGCAGGCCCTGGAGGGCGCAATGGTCCTGGGCTGTCCCGGTGCTTTGGAATCCAGGCCTCGGCCCTGGGCGATGTCTGCCGCAGTGGGGAGGGCCCAGTGCAGGTCAGGTGGAGATAATACTCATTGTAGAATACACAGGACAGCCCTCACCACCCACGTCTGTGCCGGCGGGGGCCCTGCTACCACCCAAGAGGGGGCTCCGCAGAGGGTGCCCTCCTGAGTTCTCAGACCACAGAAAAAAGTACAGACTTTTGGACTCAATTTCTCCTCTGTGAAATGAATGGAATGGAATGGATTCCTGTGGAGACTTTTTTTTTGGGGGTGGGGGGGGAAGTGGTTGGGGTTTGAAGCCAGGGCCTCTGACCAGGCCTGGGTGTCTGCCCCCTCCAGAGCCCTAAACCCCGAGATCCACACCTGTGGGAAGCAAGCGGAAAGCAGCACAGTCCTGTGGAGATTGTTGTGAAGGAGCCGGGTCAGTGACCTACAGGCATCATCTATACGTTCTCTTCTTGTTTCTGATAGTTCTGAGAGTACTGGGGCTTGAACTCAGGACCTCCTGTTTACTAGGCAAGTACTTTACCACCCAAGCCATGCCTTCAGCCCTTAGGCCCTAGTCTTTCAAGTAAAAGGTCTCATGCTTTTGCCCAGGCTGGCCTTGAACCATTATCTTCCTATCTCTGCTGTCCTCCAAGAGGCTGAGATTCTATGTCTAGGCTAGTCTGAAGTATGATTTCAAGTGATTGCCCTGTCTCAGCCTTCTGAGTGGCTGGGGCACAGGAATGTACCACCACGGCCAGCATTTTTCCTTGTAAGAATTCATCAGTGTTGTATGAGAGGAGAGACCGCTAGCTCTCCTGTGGCAAGGGTGGAGGAGGACCCGACTGACAACAAGCTGTTGCTTAAGACATTGATACCACTTTTTTTTTTTAATGTGTGTGTTATTTTCAAAGACTCATCAGTTTACTTTTGTTATTGTTGTTGGTGTTGGTAGTCATAGGGCTTGAACTCAGGGCCTGGGTGCCGTCCCTGAGCTTTTTCACTCAAGGCTAGTGTTCTACCATTTGAGCTACAGCACCACTTTTTGCTTTCTGGGACTTTTCTGCTTGGGCTGGCTTTGAACTGCAATCCTCAGATCTCAGCCTCCTGAGTAGCTGGGATTACAGGCGTGAGCCACTGGTGCCTGACATCAGTTTACTTTTTATTTTGCATGCATACCATGTATTTTGGTCACCTGCTATTCTACTCATCTACTATTCTTTCTTACTCCCCCCTTGTTCTTTCTTAAAACCAATTTTTAGTGGGGTTGTTAGTCTACTTTCAAAGGTGAGTTGTTTGAGCGCTCATTCCCATCATCCCCTCTTCTGTAATCATCACCCCTAGACTTCTCTATCACCAGTTTCGTGGCACTGGACCACTGATAAATTTGATTTAAAAATAACAGGGATAAGAATGGAGGGCAACTCTGCCCCCAAACAGGTCTCCAGGGGCGGGGAAAGGGATAGCCTGAGCTGCCGGGCTGACTTTCTCATCCGTGTCTGCCTCACCCAGGGCTTTGCCATGCTGCTTTGTTGGGTGACTTTCCAGGTCATCCACAGTACCACTGTCCTCCTTATGATGGTTGTCTGCCGTCCATCGTTCAGAAATAACATCATTCCAGCCAACCGTCCAGCTGCGACAAACTCCATTTGTCTTGGGACTGGTAACCCCAGAGGTGTGGGTGGGAGGTCCTTCCTGTCCACCAGTGCCCCTCCCAGGCCCCAGGGTCTGAGTGGGAGGTCCTTCCTGTCCACCAGTACCCCTCCTAGGCCCCAGAGGTTTGGGTGGGAGGTCCTTCCTGTCCACCAGCGCCCCTCCCAGGCCCCAGAGGAAGCCAGAGCCAATCCAGCATTTGTCTTTTCCTTCCTGAAAAGTGCTCACTCCTTACTGGACCATTTGTGTTGCTACTACAGTTGTAAGAGATGATATGGCAAACTGACTTAAAGAAAAGACCTGCCTCTTGTTATTCACACTGATGGCAACAATCCACCCGTCGGGCAGCCCCTCCCACAGGAGCAGGCGTCCCTGCCCAGGGCTGTGTGCCCCCCAGGAGCAGATGTCCATGCCCAGGGCTGTGTCCCCCCCAGGAGCAGGCGTCCCTGCCCAGGGCTGTGTCCCCCCAGAAGCAGGTGTCCCTGCCCAGGGCTGTGTCCCCCCACCAGGAGCAGGCGTCCCTGCCCAGGGCTGTGTCCCCCCACCAGGAGCAGGCGTCCCTGCCCAGGGCTGTGTCCCGTCCTCTCAGAGGGAAGGTGAGCCAGTGCCTTCAGGTGCTTAACTACCTCCCAGAGAGACATGGAAGAGACGTACCTTTCTCACCAGCTGGGCAAAATCGCCATACTCCCGGGGCGGCAGCCCGAGGAGCGGCCTGGTGCAGGAGTCCAGTGAGGAGCCGTGACCGACCACGAGGATGATGCCCGCTGTGAAGAGACACCTGCGATCAAGGCAGGCACAGCAAGGGGGCCCTGACGTTGCGGGGAAGGAGCTACCTCTGAATACCCAAGTCCTGCAAGACCCCCGGGCAGGAGGTGGGCATGGCCGGGCGGGGCTCAGGAGCACCTTAGCCTCCACCTGTGCATGATTGCAGACGCATTACCGCTGCATGCACGGCCTGGGGCGGTGCGGGGCAGCTTCAGGGCAGGTTCCAGGGGTCTGGGCCTCTGTCCTCCCTGGCCGGGTGCCGGGACCCTGTCAGCCACCGGCTTCAGCGGGGCGATGGCCGCCTGTCAGGTGGATCTCACTGCTCCAGATGTTTCTGTCTGCCGGCTTCCACAATAGCTGAGATGTCTCCTGCTTGTGATAAGGCTGGCCAGGGAGCGGAGGCTAAAGGGACTCTCCTTTCGGGGACGCAGGTGCCCCGCCAGCTGGGAGGGCGCAGGAAGCCCGCTCCTCTGTGTGCGCTTCGTTCTGGACTACGCGAGCTGGGAGAGTTGGGGGAGTCGCGGGGACCCAGGGAAGGGGACCCGACCCCCTCTCTCCCTGGAAGTCTGTTGCTCTGCCTCTCTCTCTCTTCCTGGCCTGCGTTGTTACCTGCAGGCTGGCTTGAGGCATGTGGGTGTGAGCGGTTTGCACCGATCTAGCTGAACTGGAGTGACCACAAGGTAGAGCCAGGATGCCCTGCTGTGTGTGTGTAGGGGCTGGGAGGTGGGAACCTCAGTAGGTTAGGAGAGGGGCTAGTTTCTTTGCCAAAGGCCAGGCCCTGGCCTGCAAGGCTGCTCCCGGCCCAGGCCTTCCAGGGAGGCACTTACCCTCTGGGGAGCAGGCGGCCAAGATCCTCCCCATACTCAAGGTGCACCTGTCCACATACTCCTCGTAGCTCTCAGCCGGCAGGAGGGAGCTGCGGGGGACCGCAGGCCTGAAAGGAGGGGAGAGGGCGTGGCGGCTGCCCTGGGGTCCTCTGGGAGCCCAGCATTGCACATTGAAGTGTCTGGGAGGGGGTTGGTCTTCCAACTGGCACTGCCCATGCCCAGTCAACAGGGACAGCCAGTGGTGTGTGCCATGCTGGTGCCGGCCTGGCTGGTGCTGAGCCTCCAGCCCTCTCTCCCTGCACACCACGGCTGGGCAGCACAGCTGGCAGGGGAGAGGACAAACGCCCCTCCGACAGACCCGGGATGCATTTCCCAGACCCCCTTCCTGAGGCTGAGCTCTGAGGAATGTGGGCTGAGGCCAGCCAAGGCAAGAAAGTCTGTGAGACTCATCTCTAGTAAGCATAAAAGAGAAAAAGCTAGAAGCGGCGTTGTGGCTCAAGGGGCAGAGTGCTGGCCTTGAACAGAAGAAGCTCAGGGACAGCACCCAGGCCCAAGAAGCTCAGGGACAGCACCTTGTAGCTCAAGGGGCAGAGCGCCAGCCTTGAACAGAAGAAGCTCAGGGACAGTGCCCAGGCCCTGAGTTCAAGCCTCAGGACTGGCATACAGAAAAGAATAAACACTATTCATAATGAACACTATTTTAAGGAAATAGCTTGATTAAGAGTGCATGCTTTTCTCTTTGTAGCTTATGGTAGAAAAGCGACCTTCTAACTCTGTCCATGTTCCTTAAGAAATGCACTTCTCTTAAGGAGGGCACTTGGTAAAAGGACTCCTTTGACCACAGAAATATCCGTAAAGGAAAAAGAAACCCGATATCCAGTGCCACAACAACCTGGATTTAAAAATCTGCCCGAGGCTTACTGACTTTGGGCCAATGACAACACTGCAATACTATAACAAGAAGACGGAAACGTGCTCAACCCAAAGGAGAACACTGATCCTAAGGAGTGTTCCACAGCACGCCCTGCCCCGATTTTCAGCACCGACCCCCGGATGTTAGAAGGCGGGTGCCCTCTTCTTCCTGACTCACTGCCTTTAGTTGCTGTCTTTCTCTTTCATTTTGCCAGATCATTCTGTCAGCCTCTCATCCGACCCTGTGCCTCAGCCTGAATTTATTCTCTGTGTTAAAAAAGACAAAACCCTCTGGGGCCACGGGCTGAGGCCACTTTCTTTGGGGTTCTTGTGAGACCTACCTTCCCCTTGACAGACCGGGGTGAGACATTTACCAGACTGGCTTCGCAAGGCTTCCCTGACTGCTGAATGCCCTCCACCATGCCTGTCCCCGCTTCCCACGCCACCTCCCGGGCTGCATGTGGACTTTGGCTCCATCCTTCTCCTTACTGAATGGGTGGGCCTCTTGAGCAAAACCCCTCGACATCTTCCGCAAGTGTCACGGTCGATTTTCTTCCCCAAGAACTAGATGAACCCAGGAGCGGAGCCCTACAGGACGCATACCTGTAGTCAGCATCGACGTTGAAGTTTGCGTCTCTCAGCTCCTCCAGGGTCATGAAGGCCGGGGTGGTCTTGCTGGCTTCCCATTTGGTCCACTCAAAGATCCCGGGCTCCACTCTGATCTTCAGTGTCATCTCCAGCTTGAGTGCTAGGTTTAACAGAATGAAGTGTCGGCCACAGGTGGCATCTTCTTTGGTGTTACATATGTACGCTAGCTCTTCCCAAGTAGCTCTGACTGTGCGGGAGTCTCAATAGAAAGTTCTGGCACTGTGACTTTTCTTCTTGGCAAATGGTATTCTGGGATGAAGCTCAGCCATGCTATTTCTGAAGCCCAAGCTGCCCGGTTACAGGGATTGGGAACACGGGGTGTGTCGGGAGATGGCTTCTGCCATGGCCGCAGGCAGAGGCCTCCCTGTCGAGGGAGGCTCATCCTTGTCGACCAAAACCAGCATGGCAGCTCCACCCTTGGGCCGAGACTACGAACACACCTGGAGGGTGTGGACAACCCAGCCATCCACAAGGATGTGGATGACACTAGATACTAAAGAAAGAAGGGGAACAGGACTGTAAAGCAGGCTCTGTCATGGGGGGGGAAGGGGGGGAGGCGCGTGCAGAGAGGGGGAGGGGACAGCAGGAAGAGTGTGCTTAAGAATGAATGCAGTGAGAACAGTGGTCCTCTTGAAATCATTGAAGAAGGGGGTGAGGGTGGCTGGGACTCCAGTGTACACGTGTGGGAATGTTTCAGTGGGCCTCATGGGATGGGTGCTTTGATCAAGCTCCTTTAGAAACGAGAGCATTAGACCCGGTGACCAGCACCTGCCTTTCCCTCGGCTTGTGACAATACTAGGAAAGTTGGATTGAAGCATTCCCAGGGGTGTGGCCAGGGTCTCTTTCTGGGGTGGACACACTGAGCAAATCCATCCAGATAAACCTTTGTGTGTTAGTGTCTCATGTGTGTCTGACAAACAGGCCAACCACATCGAAAGACTCATGAGGAAGACAGAGGAATCCTTGCATTTCTGAGTCAACGCAGGATTCACACACTGTGTCCTTTGGACAAGTTTCATCATCATCATCACCACCACCACCATCTGTATATGCACTAATAGCTGGTAAGAGATGGTGTTAGAAACACTAACATTATCATTGTCCAAAACCGTGTCTGGGGAACTCTTCATTTGTGTGCCAGAGATCAAAGTAACAAAAATTGTTAAAAATTAAAAAAAAAAAACTGGACTATGTGAATAATGAATTAACAGTGACAAACAGATAAAAATTGTGAAAAAACATTTTCAAGACTCTCCACCATATTCTTTGGGAACAAAAAGTGGTTCGCAGAGTCTTCCTTATCTTTCTGTTTGCAGGGGGCCCCATGGGTCAGAGGCCAGCAGGTAAAGGAGGGTTGCGGTCCTGCTGGGAAAGGGCTGCAGGTTTGAGGAGAGAAGCCACTGGGAGGAGACCACCGGTGGCCGTTCCAGCCAGTGCAGTCTGCTCGTGGTGTTCTGGGCTGCCATGGACAGCCTGCCGGGACCGAAACCAAAGCAGTTCTGAAGGATAAAGGAAAAAACAAAGCATGCCTGGCCGAGGCGTGGCCTTTTCTCACACATTTCTGCATGTGTTTCACACTGAGTTTGCATCTTATTACTATAGCTGTTGAATGACTGATAGATACATCTATCCTACACCATCAGGAATAAAAGGACTTCTCGTTCTGATGAGTTTCTTCGTAGTCATTGATGTTGTCTTCAAACAGAAGGGCTTAGGACAAACAGCCAAGAAAGATTTGTCCTCGTATAAGGCTAGCGTTGTCTCCATCCTTCCTGAATGGCCGGGTCTGGGTCCTCTGTTGCCAACAGAAGCTGGGTGAACCTGGGTTGAGGTCAGCACTGTGCAGAAGCAAACTGTCCAGCCACTTCTCAGTCTGTCCAGTGCAGTGTGTGGCTTGGCAGTTGAATGGACTATTGGCGTGTGTGTGTGTGTGTGTGTGTGTGTGTGTGTGTGTGGTGTGTGTTTGCATGTGGGACATGCATGCATGCGTGAGTTGGTGGGGGGATGAGGATGCTCTAAGCAAGCTTTGTTCCGTCTCCAGGTTAGCGTGTGCTTGCTGTCACATGACCCCTGCCTTTGGGGGTCACTGACCCTCTCTGGTTTGGTTTAAAAAGCTGTCATGAATCTCCATCTGACTCATCTAGCAGAGAACCCCGAGAGGAAGGGGGTGTGCGATCTCCACACACCCCTCCACTTCAGGAGGTAAAGCGGTTGGCCTCTTTCTTAGTGACGCCATCCCGATGGCCCGGCTGCAGGCTGGTACCAAGCCGCTCGCTGCTCCATGCATGTCAGGTGGATTCCTGATAAAGCGGTTTTGTTCCCCACGGCTGGACTCTGGCTCATGGAACTGCATCCTGACCACACAAGAAGGGGGACCTGCCGGTCCGGTGATGTCAGCCAAGCCCTGGCCAGGCCTCTGCCCGCCCGCTGGCTCTGGAAGGCTCTTCGGCTCTTTCCCTGCGTGGGGCTAGGGGCGGAGCAGGAGCTGGGGCTGGTGCGTGTGTTGGTCTTTCTCCTCCTCATTCCAGTTGCTCCTGCTGTGAAGTTCTGCTGCTTCTATTTCTGACGTTTAGTCCGTGTGCTGGAACAGCAGAGCACGGCCCCTCCCGCCGTGGGGACAGGTGCCTGTCGGTGGCCGTCCACACTGGGGGCTTTCTTCCTGGGGTAGAAGCTGCCGAAGGGCTGGCTGATGGCTTCCAGACACACTCCAGCCTGGCAGATGCCGGCCTTCACAGGGAAGAGACTTTGAAGGGACCTCAGTTTCCAGCTCTGGGTGTGAATGCTTCTTCCCGGGTGTCTAGGCGCCAGGCAGGGAGAGGTGGCCAGCATGACAGCGTGGACAGCGTGGCACTCGGTCCCCGGTGTTCTGTCGGTGCTGGGGCTGTGGGGGCTGTGTAGACGTGGCTCCCCTGTGACTCCTCCCCTTCCTCCCCCTTCCGCTCCCCTCGGGCTGCAGCCTGGGGGTCCTCCAGCCCATGGGGTGCCCACCTACCTTCCAGGATGTGCCTGGCCGTCTGCACGCAGCGCAGGGCTGGGGAGGCGAAGGCGGCTGCCACCCTGAGGCCGCTGTCCCGGAGCGCGTCCCCTGGGAGATGTGGACCGTGAGCTGCGTTCTCACCCCTGGGCAGCCCCGCCCCACCACCCACCCTGCTGCCCACCCCCACAGGACACCCAGGCCCAGAGTTCAAGCCCCATGACCAACAAAAACAATGACATCCTGGTACACACAGTGGTTGGCATTTTTCTTCTTCTCCCTTCTTCTCTGTATCTGTCTTCCATTCCCTCCTACTTTTCCATTCGTTTTCATCATCACCACCACCACCACCACCACCACCATCATCACCACCACCACCACCACCACCATCACCACCACCACCACCACCACCACCCTCACCACCACCGCCATCACCACCACCACCACCATCACCACCACCACCACCATCACTACCACCACCATCATCACCACCACCATCAACAAGACCATCACCATCATCACCACCACCACCACCCCACCATCACCACCACCATCACCACCATCACCATCACCATCACCACCACCACCATCACCACCACCGCCACCATCACTACCACCACCATCATCACCACCACCACCACCACCACCATCACCACCACCGCCATCACCACCACCACCACCATCACCACCACCACCACCATCACTACCACCACCATCATCACCACCACCACCACCACCACCACCATCACCACCACCGCCATCACCACCACCACCACCATCACCACCACCACCACCATCACCACCATCACCATCACCATCACCACCACCACCATCACCACCACCGCCACCATCACTACCACCACCATCATCACCACCACCACCACCATCATCACCACCACCATCAACACGACCATCACCATCATCACTACCACCATCATCACCATCATCATCACCACCATCATCACCTCCACCATCAACATGACCATCACCATCATCACCACCACCATCATCACCACCACCATCATCACCATCATCATCACCACCATCATCACCACCACCATCAACACGACCATCACCATCATCACCACCACCATCATCACCACCACCATCATCACCATCATCATCACCACCATCATCACCACCACCATCATCACCATCATCATCACCACCACCATCACCACCACCACCACCACCATCATCACCACCACCACCATCATCACTACCACCGCCGTCACTCTCCCGACTGCCGACCTACCTGCCAGTCTGGCCTGGAAAATCCCGCAAGATGATAATGGTGGATCATTTTCAAAGTCTTTGAGGCTGCCGCTCCTCCGGGGCAGGCTTTGGGGGAAGTTCAGGTCTGGCCTGTGGTACCTTCCTAAAGCAGAAACAAGTGTCAGAGTGCATGCTCACCCCAGGGCATCACACACACGTCCCCCACGCCCAGGGACAAGGCCCAGGTCAGCTATGTTACCCATGTTGTTTCTCGTGCTCTGCATGTGGCTTCAACTCGAGCAGAAAACATCGCTTTCCACCAACACAGTGGGCGAGGGCGGGGGGGTCAATCCCAGGGGCCACGGCTGGGCCTGTGTCCCCGCAGAACCCGGTATAGGGTCACTCAGACAGTGAAGAGTCACTCAGACAGACAGTAAAGGGTCACGCAGACAGTAAAGGGTCACTCAGACAGTAAAGGGTCACTCAGACAGTGAAGGGTCACTCAGACAGTGAAGGGTCATGCAGACAGTGAAGGGTCACTCAGACAGACAGTGAAGGGTCACTCAGACAGACAGTGAAGGGTCACTCAGACAGTGAAGGGTCATGCAGACAGTGAAGGGTCACTCAGACAGACAGTGAAGGGTCACTCAGACAGACAGTGAAGGGTCACTCAGACAGTGAAGGGTCACTCAGACAGACAGTGAAGCGTCATTCAGACAGTGAAGGGTCACTCAGACAGACAGTGAAGGGTCACTCAGACAGACAGTGAAGGGTCACTCAGACAGGGAAGGGTCACTCAGACAGACAGTGAAGGGTCACTCAGACAGTGAAGGGTCACTCAGACAGTGAAGGGTCATGCAGACAGTGAAGGGTCACTCAGACAGACAGTGAAGGGTCACTCAGACAGACAGTGAAGGGTCACTCAGACAGTGAAGGGTCACTCAGACAGACAGTGAAGCGTCATTCAGACAGTGAAGGGTCACTCAGACAGACAGTGAAGGGTCACTCAGACAGACAGTGAAGGGTCACTCAGACAGTGAAGGGTCACTCAGACAGACAGTGAAGGGTTACTCAGACAGTGAGGGGTCACTCAGACAGTGAAGGGTCACGCAGGCAGACAGTGAAGGGTCACTCAGACAGACAGTGAAGGGTCACTCAGACAGTGAAGGGTCATGCAGACAGTGAAGGGTCACTCAGACAGACAGTGAAGGGTCACTCAGACAGACAGTGAAGGGTCACTCAGACAGTGAAGGGTCACTCAGACAGACAGTGAAGCGTCATTCAGACAGTGAAGGGTCACTCAGACAGACAGTGAAGGGTCACTCAGACAGACAGTGAAGGGTCACTCAGACAGTGAAGGGTCACTCAGACAGACAGTGAAGGGTTACTCAGACAGTGAGGGGTCACTCAGACAGTGAAGGGTCACGCAGGCAGACAGGGAAGGGTCACTCAGACAGACAGTGAAGGGTCACTCAGACAGTGAAGGGTCACTCAGACAGTGAAGGGTCATGCAGACAGTGAAGGGTCACTCAGACAGACAGTGAAGGGTCACTCAGACAGACAGTGAAGGGTCACTCAGACAGTGAAGGGTCACTCAGACAGACAGTGAAGCGTCATTCAGACAGTGAAGGGTCACTCAGACAGACAGTGAAGGGTCACTCAGACAGACAGTGAAGGGTCACTCAGACAGTGAAGGGTCACTCAGACAGACAGTGAAGGGTTACTCAGACAGTGAGGGGTCACTCAGACAGTGAAGGGTCACGCAGGCAGACAGTGAAGGGTCACTCAGACAGACAGTGAAGGGTCACTCAGACAGTGAAGGGTCATGCAGACAGTGAAGGGTCACTCAGACAGACAGTGAAGGGTCACTCAGACAGACAGTGAAGGGTCACTCAGACAGTGAAGGGTCACTCAGACAGACAGTGAAGCGTCATTCAGACAGTGAAGGGTCACTCAGACAGACAGTGAAGGGTCACTCAGACAGACAGTGAAGGGTCACTCAGACAGTGAAGGGTCACTCAGACAGACAGTGAAGGGTTACTCAGACAGTGAGGGGTCACTCAGACAGTGAAGGGTCACGCAGGCAGACAGGGAAGGGTCACTCAGACAGACAGTGAAGGGTCACTCAGACAGTGAAGGGTCACTCAGACAGTGAAGGGTCACTCAGACAGACAGTGAAGGGTCACTCAGACAGTGAAGGGTCACTCAGACAGTGAAGGGTCACTTAGACAAACAGTGAAGGGTCACTCAGACAGTGAAGGGTCACTCCGACAGTGAAGGGTCACTCAGACAGTGAAGGGTCACGCAGACAGTGAAGGGTCACTCAGACAGACAGTGAAGGGTCACTCAGACAGTGAAGGGTCACTCAGACAGTGAAGGGTCACTTAGACAAACAGTGAAGGGTCACTCAGACAGTGAAGGGTCACTCCGACAGTGAAGGGTCACTCAGACAGTGAAGGGTCACTCAGACAGACAGTGAAGGGTCACTCAGACAGTGAAGGGTCACTCAGACAGGGAAGGGTCACGCAGACAGTGAAGGTTCACTCAGACAGTGAAGGGTCACTCAGACAGACAGTGAAGGGTCACGCAGACAGTGAAGGGTCATGCAGACAGTGAAGGGTCACTCAGACAGTGAAGGGTCACTCAGACAGACAGTGAAGAGTCACTCAGACAGACAGTGAAGGGTCACTCAGACAGACAGTGAAGGGTCACGCAGACAGTGAAGGGTCACTCAGACAGACAGTGAAGGGCCACTCAGACAGTGAAGGGTCACTCAGACAGACAGTGAAGGGTCACTCAGACAGTGAAGGGTCACTCAGACAGGCAGTGAAGGGTCACTCAGACAGACAGTGAAGGGTCACTCAGACAGTGAAGGGTCACTGAGACAGTGAAGGGTCACGCAGACAGTGAAGGGTCACTCCGACAGTGAAGGGTCACTCAGACAGACAGTGAAGAGTCACGCAGACAGTGAAGGGTCACTCAGACAGTGAAGGGTCACTCAGACAGACAGTGAAGGGTCACTCAGACAGACAGTGAAGGGTCACTCAGACAGTGAAGGGTCACTCAGACAGTGAAGGGTCACGCAGACAGTGAAGGGTCACTCCGACAGTGAAGGGTCACTCAGACAGACAGTGAAGGGTCACTCAGACAGACAGTGAAGGGTCACTCAGACAGTGAAGGGTCACTCAGACAGTGAAGGGTCACTCAGACAGACAGTGAAGGGTCACGCAGATAGACAGTGAAGGGACACTCAGACAGACAGTGAATGGTCACTCAGACAGACAGTGAATGGTCACTCAGATAGTGAAGGGTCACTCAGACAGACAGTGAAGGGTCACTCAGATAGTGAAGGGTCACTCAGACAGACAGTGAAGGGTCACTCAGACAGTGAAGGGTCACTCAGACAGTGAAGGGTCACTCAGACAGACAGTGAAGGGTCACTCAGACAGTGAAGGGTCACTCAGACAGTGAAGGGTCACTCAGACAGTGAAGGCCCACTCAGACAGACAGTGAAGGGTCACGCAGACAGTGAAGGGCCACGCAGACAGTGAAGTGTCACTCAGACAGTGAGAAGCCCGTTCTCCACGGCTGATCTAGCCCAGTTCGGGAGCACTCACAGGTTGGCATCAAGTAATTAGGTGACTTCCCATGCTTTCTCTTACTTTCTTTTTGTTTTTGTTGGTCATGGGGGATGAACTCAGGGCCTGGGCACTGTCCTGGAGCTCTTCTGCTCAAGGCTAGCATTCTATCACTTTGAGCCACAGAACCACTTCCCATTTTTGAGTAGTTAATTGGAGATAAGACTCTCATGGGGACTTTTCTGCCCAGGCTGGCTTCAAACCACCATCCTCAGATCTCAGCCTCCTGAGTAGCTAGGATGACAGGCATGAGCCCAGCTCTTTCTCATAGTGTTAAGGGCTGACAAGGGTAGTATATGTCTGGCTGGAATGATTCTCATCAAGTATCATTTGGCCAATTGGTTGAATGCTGGACGAAGAGTCAGGCGTGTTTCTGAGGCCCCTTCCCCCAAGGCTGCACAGCACATGGTTCCACTCGAGTCTGACCGTGAGTTCTAAGCTCTCTCAGCCTGGCTCAAATCCTGACACTACCATCTGCTTGACGTGCAGCTAGAGGCCAGTGATTTAACCTCTCTCACCATGAGAAGGGAAACTGAGGATGTCGGGGTTCAGGTGGTGAGCTGGTGTCAGAGCCAGTGTCAGGCTCCCGCAGGGGCTGCCCTCCGGTGGCCCCCATGGGCGGCCATGCTAGGGTGGTGCTGTTGAGATGTGGTGCCACCTCCGGGCATCGAGTGGGGCCCTACTGTGTTGGCTCTGCACATGTCTGTCTGCATCCTGTGGGGTCCGCCTACCGTCCGGCGTGCAGCACTGCTGTAGCCAGGACTTCCCGAAGATCTGGTCTACTCGCTCCCCATGCCGGACCACCAGCACGCTCCTCCTCAAGATGGCGGCCTGGGAGCATGGGCGGATGCAGAACTGTTAGTCACTCTCAGCAGCTTCCCTCCGGCCACCACAGCTGGCCTACAGCGGGACTGCTCCCTACGGGCAGCAGCGGCAGCCATGATACTCAAAGCTTTACCAGGAACCAGTCTGGGGTGGTTTTTTTTTCCAACCTTGAATCTCCTGGGCACTATGCCAACGTGGAGAAGTGAAATGGAGGACTGTCTCCTCCCACAGCCTGCCAAGTGCTTCTCTCTGTTTCTTCCAAGTCCTCATCACTCCAGAAAGACAGGATGGTCTCTCTCTCTGTGTCTCTGTCTTTCTCCCTTTCTCTGTCTCTCCTTATACTATAAATTACTGTATGATCTATCTGTCCATCCATCCACACATCCATCCATGCATCCATCTACCTATGCATCCATCCAACCTTCCACCCATCCATCCATCCATCTACCTACTCATCCATCCATCCACCCATCCATCCATGCATCCATCCACCCATCTACCCATCCACCCACACATCCATCTATCCATGCATCCACCCATCCCTGCATCCATCCACCTACTCATCCATCCATCCATCTACCTATCTATCTATCTATCCATCCACACATCCATCCATCTGCCCACCATCTATTCATCCATCCATCCATCCATCCATCTACTCGTCTATCTATCTATCCATCCATGTATCCATGCATCCACCCACCCACCCATCCATCCATCCATCCATCCATCCACCCACCCACCCACCCACCCACCCACCCATCCATCCATCCATCCATCCATCCATCCATCCATCCATCCATCCATCCATCTGCCCACCATCCATTCATCCATCCATCCATCCATCCATCCACCCATCCATCTACCCATCTATCTATCTATCCATCCATGTATCCATGCATCCACCCACCCACCCACCCACCTATCCATCCATCCATCCACCCACCCACCCACCCACCCACCCACTCACCCACCCACCCACCCATCCATCCATCCCACAGTGTGGCTGTGATTTTGCTCAGTGTATTTATGTTGTTGTTGTTGTTGTTTTTTGGTCCGGTTGTGGGGCCTGAACTCTGGGCCTGGGTGCTGTCCCTCAGCTCTTCAGCTCAAGGCTAGCGCTCTACCACTTGAGCCACAGCGCCACTTCCGGCTTTTTTCTTATGTGGTGCTGAGGAATCGAACCCAGGGCCTCAAGCATGCAAGGCAAGTGCTCTACCACTGAGCCACCTTCCCAGCCCTGCTCAGTGTATTTATAGGAAGTGGCGCTGTAGCTCAAGTGGTAGAGCGCTCGCCTTGAGTTGAAGAGCTGAGGGACCACGCCCAGGCCCAGAGTTCAAGCCCCACGACCGACAAAAAAAAAAAAAAAAAACTATATAGAGCACTCAGTGTATTTATAAAGCGGGGTTCTGTTACCTGCAAAGCCTGCACACTGCTCAGGCTCCTGGACACCGATGGAGGCTGACAGTCTCTGTTTCGACTGCCACTGGCTTCCCCATCCTTCCTGGAGTTCAGGTCTGTGGCTAGGTTGAAGGTATATGTCCTGCGGAGGAGAGGAGAGGCTAGGAACAGAGAGGCTGGCCACAGATGCGCATTCCAGGAGCGTGGTGTCCTCTGCAGGCAGGGACACGGGACGTGTGGAGGGCGCTTGGGACCCAGAGAGGGTGAACGGCTCTGGCTGTGCCAGGGAATCTGGCAGAGGATGGCGCGTAGGAGAGGGAGGGGCTACTGCTGCAAAGCTGGAAATCCCCTTGGATGAGGAGGGGGAGGGGTGGGGGAGAGGGAGGAAGAGGCAGGGGAGGGGGATGGGTAGGGTGGCTGCTCTTTCAGGGAGCTGGCACGCAGCCATGCACATGGCTGCTGCACAGGGCGTGTGCACAGCTACACTGGCCCAGGTAAGAGTTATCTGAAGTTATTCAAACGGCTGCCTAAGGTGCACATGGCCATGAACCACACTTTGAATAGCCTTTTTCCTAATTGCACCCTCCTGGGGGATCTCAGGAGAGTCTCAGAAGGGATGAGGTGGTTTCTAGGGTGTCTGGAACACAGGGTTGACTTGCTTCCTGGGAAGGTTTTTCTACCAGCTTGTAGGAAGGTAGCGAGTTTGCTCATGGTGTGCTCACCTGGGTTAATAATGTCAGTAAATGACAAAAACCCCAAATCAGAAACGCTTTGGCTTTGAGGGCTAGAAGCAGCACTGCAGGTGGAGAGGCTCTTGTACTGCAGGAGCAGGCGCTTGGTCCCGCTCTGACTCATCTCCACGTTGATGGTCATTTTCCTTCCCTCCAGAGCCTTGGTGCTTTTTTCCTAACAATTCTGGAATGAAATCTTGATATGTGAAGATTATGGTAGCAGGCCATTGATGACTCACACCAGTAATCCTAGCTACTCAGGAGGCTGAGACCTGGTGGGATCACTGTTCAAAGCCAGCCCGTGCAGAAAAAGTCCATGAAACTCCGTCTCCAACTAACTGGCTAACATGGCTCCAGTGGAAGAATGCCAGCTGTGAACAAGAAAGCTAAGCAAGATTACAAGGCCCTAAGTTCAAGCTGTGTTAGAGACCAGAACATAAAAAGGCCTCTTGGTGAGTGGGGTGACGTCAGGCTCAAGTGCAGGGCCAGGGTGGGCAGACAGGCTATCCGCCGGGGGCGGCCCTGGGGGACACCAACTTATCGCCTTCTGAAAAGCCTTTTCTCGCTGTGCTCTTCGCATGGTAGCATTGGTTATGATTTAAAGCACACAGAAACCTTGCATTTCATGTGCATTTCACAGTCATGGGTGAAGACAGATTTGTGGTCCCAGCTTTGAAGCTCTTCCCTGGCCTCAGCTTTTAATGCTCTTCCCAGCCCAAAAACAACGTGAGCAGGACCTGCCTGCTCTTTCAAAACCAATTTCCTTCTATTAACTTCTTTGCCGGGAACTTATTCCGGTGAACGGCGTGTGATGCTAAGCCTCATTTATTTTGTGCCCTTTCCCTCTCTTCCTTGTGAGAGGTCTTCCAGATAAACTTTCCAACGAACACAAATGACCCCATGATATTTCCCTTGGGAGTCGAACAAAACTTGAGAACCATTCTGAGTGAGCGGCTTTTCTCGGTCACGGTGATGGTATGTTTTCACGTGTCCAGCTCATGTATACATGTTTGCTAGGGGACCTCCTTCAAGCCCCCAGGTTGAGTTCCCAGCATCCCTTGAGGCCCTGTCCGGAGGCTGACTCCAGCGTTTGCGCCTCACCCCGTGGCCAGCCTGACATGGCGGACAAGCTGGGACCGCCAGTCGTCCATGGGGTGTTTGGGTTTAGCCCATGCATTCCTCAGTTTGCCCTCAGAGTTGTGTATCTCTGTCCACTTCCTCCTGGCCTGACACGTCTTGATCTGCAGACTCATCTTGAAGGGAGGCGTCCAGGCCCGACAGCTTCACGTTTGATGAGTTCTCCGTTGCCAGGTGCGGAGGGAGGAAATGCAGACTTCGGTGGATGCTGCCGCTGACGTGGAGCCTCCGCCCTTCCTCGCACACAGCAGCGGACGTGGTGCTGACGACTCTTGATAACACAGGAAATGTCGGTCGGTTGCTTCTTGCTGAAGGCAAGGCACAGGGGCACCGTACACCACTTGTGGCTCGAGCTCAAGACAGTAGAGCCTTGTTATCTGCAAGTGCCATCTGTGAACTTCACAGCAGAGAGCCGTGGGAGCGCTTACTTAGTTATTTAGTTATTTATTTTTGGCCAGGCGTTCATTGTAGTGGGGTTGTGAGGGGCGGATGGAAGGGCTCAGCATTGTGGCGTTTCTGTTTCTGATGGAGTGGTTAACTTCCATGATAGAAACAGGTTCAAGTTCTCACTGGTTCTTCTAGGATGCAGCTGCCGTCTACGGGATTTCACAGCCGGCGTCACCGTCCTGATGTTCCCGACACACAATGACAGACCTTTGTGGTCCCACAGCTCTGGAGGCTGGGCATCCGGGGTGAGGGCCGTTGTACAGTCTCAGGGCAGCTCCTCCCAAGGCCTCTCTCCTGGGCTGGCAGACGGGGCGTCCCTCCTGTGGCTCCGTGTCACCCCTCTGGTCCTACTACTTCCAACACTGTTCAAGTCAGGGTAGGGTCCGCCCCGTGACCTGACAAAAACATCTCATAAAACATGTCCAGCTTGACCTACTGACTGCTTACAGGCCAATCTCCAAATGAGGTCAGGACTTCAGCATATGAATTCCAGAGAGACACAACTTGGGCCGTAACAGTTCTCCGCTAATTGTTTCCAATTCTCCCTGTGGTTTGGAAAGCCTTGGGCGTTGGCAATGCCCGCGTGTGGGCTGGAAGGCGAAGGTAGACAGCCCTCAGCTTGGCCCGGGGCCCTGTCCTTCCGTTCCCTGGTGTGGCTGCACCTTTCCCCTCAGGGCTCCCTGCAGGGATGTGGGCGTGGGCTCCTCCACTTCGGTCACCTCCGGATAACCTCTGACCTTCCCCTGGGAGCGACTAAAAAGTCCAAGAGATCTCAGGACCACTGGCTGAAAGGCTGGAGCCTTGGATTAGCACAGTGCCCAGTGCCCAGAAGGATGAGGAACTGCAAAGTGCAATTCCTCCCCGGGCCAGAAGGGGGTGGGGCCCTCGGGCGGGACAGCGGTTCCCAGGGCTGGGGTGGCTCAGGCCCAAGCTGAGAACTGTGGCGTGGGGAGGTGCCCGCCCCTTGCCACATCCCTGGGGCAGTCTGCCGGCTGGCTGAGGGCTCGGAGGGGTGGGGGCATCGCCTCCCGCCACCCGTGGGATCGTGATGGGTGACCTGACTCGGGCACGGCTGATCAAAAAACCTTTGAACACCAACGTGGGCTTCCAAGGGCTCAGCCAGCCGCCCCAGCCTGCCTGGCCACCGTCGCGGCCACGCTGGCCAGCGGATCTGGCCGCTCTCCTTCTGAAGCAGGCCCTGGGCTCCCTACTGCACCCCGCTGTGCTTGGTCTTTTTCCCTTCTTCTGCGCTTTGTGTTGATAATTATACATTCCTCAGCGACTGTCTTCTCTGGAGTGGACCCTGGCAGTTCGGGCACACGAGCTGGCATGGTTGTGCCGAGCCGGTGCCTGGCACTTGAACCGTGAAGTAGAAACTAGGAGAGCCACAGGCTGCAGGTCCCAGGGCCTCCGGGCCTGCGGTCCGCCTGGTTCCTCTGTGAGGAGGAGTCTCTTCTGGGTGGGCCGTGAGGGACGTGGGCCTCCTGGCGTCCAGACGCCCCTCCTCGTGTGGCGCTGGCCGCTTCACCTCTTCACGAGGCTTTGTTCCTTCACTTATTCAAAACCGGAGTCTCACTAGTTACATCGATTCTCTGACATGGGAATGCAGGCCTCGAGGGCTGCAAGTTAGCAGTTGGGTTTCCCTCGAGTGGGGAGCTTGCGGGGGGGGGGGGGGGCGGGGAGGCAGCGGGGACATTTGGAGAAACTGGATTGCCGTGCGTAGGCCTCGTCCTGGGAGGAACACATTCACATAATCACGTGTCTGGGTCTGGAACTCAGGGCCTCTTGTTCTTGCATGGCTTTCTCGCTCAAGGCTGGCACTCTACCACTTGAGCCACATCTCCACTTGAGGCTTTTTTTTCCTGATTAATGGGAGATAAGAATCTCACGGACATTTCTGTCCAGGCTGGCGATGAACTGGGATCCTCAGGTCTCAGACTCCTGAGTAGCTAGGACTACAAGCATGAGCCATAGCACCTGGCTCTCTGACACTTTTAAAGTAGTTTCCTATGTTCACGCTAATAAAACTGCATGGTTTTTGTAACTTTGTCTCACATGCAAACCTTGATAGGAAAAAGTACGGGAAAAGTCACCTGTCTGTACAGATACCAGAAACGATCATCCATAGAAAATGCCCAGGATGGGTCTGAAAATCTGTATAATATATCATCTGTGTATCATTATTTGTTCATTTTGTGGGGAGAGTTCTAAGGAAGGCTGTGCACAGTTTTAGGGAAGGATGAAGCCAGTAAACAAAGCAGTTTTGGGGAGCCCCTCCTCCTGGGGACAGATAGGCAGCCATGTTGGGCTTTCCCAGGCTTGTCCCAGACAGCACTGCTGGCCACAGGCAGCCGTGTACAGTGGGTTTCTCTGCCTTTCCCTCTCCTCATGCAGAGTTCCAGGCACTGGTCCTGTGGAAACCTTCTGCTGGGAGAAGCATAAAAACCCGAGCTCCAGACCCCGGGGAGTCTCTTACGGTGCTCAGGAGGAGGAAGTGTTTCACATTTGACCTTTGCTGTGTCCAAAAAGTAATGGGAAGCAATCTGTGTTTCCCGAGTGTTATCAGCCAGAACCAGCCATGAAGGACTCACGATGTGCCCTGGGTACCTGTGGGGGTCATTCTGTCAGCATGAGGACTGCAAGCGGTCCCAGCAGTGGCATGGTCTAGAAGCACACCACTGTGGCTGGGTGGTAACCGGTCAGAGGGGTGTGGCCTGTGGCCAGGGCAGCGCTCACCGGTGCTTGACCCAGGTGTCGGCCTCGCGGGCCCTCTCTGTGTAGTTCTCTGGCAGGAAGCCGCGGCAGCCGGTCCGCGCTGAGGTCCCGATGACCCAGCCCTCGCTGGCCTCTGCCTGCTGCGTGGGGTCCACGAAGACATGGTCACCCGGGCTGAGCGCCAGCTCGTCCTCATTCTGGGGCTGGTACTGGAACAGGGTCCTCAGCGTCTAGAAGGGATGGCAGGTTTCAGCCACAGCCCAGGCTGGGAAGCCGCAAGAGGCCAGTCTCAGTCTGCAGCCGGGTTTCTGGCAGTGCGGATGTGTTCCAAGGCCCCGCGGTGCGTTTACTGGTGGACACTTAGCATAAATATGGTCAGGGGCAGCAGGATGGAATTCTCCAGGTAGGTTTCAAAATACATTTCATGTCTGTCTGTCTTCCACCCTTCCATCTATCCTCCCACTGATACATTTGCTTCCTTCTTTCTCCTTTTTGTCAGTCGTGGGGCCTGAACTCTGGGCCTGGGCGCTGTCCCTCAGCTCTTCAGCTCAAGGCTAGCGCTCTACCACTTGAGCCACAGCACCACTTCCGGCCTTTTTTTTTCTGCTTATGTGGTGCTGAGGAATCGAACCCAGGGCCTTATGCATGCAAGGCAAGCACTCTACCATTGAGCCACCTTCCCAGCCCCCGTTTGCTTCCTTCTTATGGAAAGATCTTCACCTGTCTGCTTGCTTGACGTGAGGCTGCTCTGAACTTGCTGGTCCTGTGCCTGGGCCACGGTGGGCCCTCCTGCCCGGTCCCTGGGTCTAGAAGGATTACCACTTGCTTTCTTTTGGAGCCTGTCAGCTCACACGGGCGGGGCCCTGCCGCGAGGCCCTGCCACACTCACAAGGTGAAATGCATCCACAAGCAGCACATGGGTGTGTGTGTGGGGGGGAGAGGCGCCATTTTGTGGTGAAATTTCTATCCACGTGCAACTCATGTACAAAAGAACTCTAGTTCCAGATTGCAGGGGAAGGGTCCTGTGGTTGGGGGGAGGGTCCTGGGGCGCACGAGGCCCCCACCTCCTCCCGGGGAGGGCCGGGCCGCCTCACCTGGTAGTGCACGAAGCGCATGTCTCGCGAGTAGAGGGCCGCTGTCCACTGGCAGTCGTGGCTGGGCTGGATGGCTCTGGCCAGCTGCTCCAGGGTCCTCTGGTGGTGAGGGTAGAATCTGTGGGCCAGGGTCAGGTGCAGCTGCTTGGTGCAGGGCTTCACTGTGCAGTCTGTGGTCAGTAAGCACAGAGGAGCTGAATACGAGTGCCTGAATGTCAGCGCTAGTATCTGAATGGCAGGTGAGCATAGGGGTGTGAGGCACTTACACCTGAGTGTTGGGTGGGCACTGGGGTACCACTGTGCCCCTGGAACCGCATGAGCAGCAGGGTACTGAGTACCAGTACTTAAATCTCAGGTGGGCACTGTTAGTACTGAGCACCAGTACCCGAGTGTCAGATGAGCGCTGGGGTACTGAGTACCAGAACCTGAGTGTTAGGTGGGCATAGACGTGCTGAGCACTAGTACCAGAATGTCAGATGAGCGCTGGGGTACTGAATCCTTGTATCTGAATGCCAGGGAAGCACACGGATGCCAAGCACCTGTGCCTGCGTGTCAGATGAGCATGGGTACTCAGCACTCATACCTGAGTGTCAGATGCACAGGGAGTACTGAGCACCAGTACCAGCATGTCCGTGCCCCCGTCTGGACTTGCTGAGGCTCTCACGCCCGTCCCCATGTGCCTGGTGCCCACTCTACCGGTGGAGGCCCGGGCCCTCCTGCACCCGAGTCTCACACCACAAAGGAAGTGGTTGGACTGCGGCAGGCTCTTCAAGGTGGAGGAAGGGCACGCTGCGTGCAGAGGCTCTGGGCCACGCTCAGGTTTGCACGAGAGCCTGGCAGCTGGCGCCCTGGGCCCAGGCTGGGGCGAAGGGAGCTCTCTCCGGAGACCCCAGTTGCGCCTGGGCCCTGCTGGCCGGTGAGCGGGGCGGCCGGCCCCCGGAGCGGCCCGTCTGCTGTCGGCTAGGCCCAGAGCCATCCACGTCTGGAAGGAGCCCAGACTCTGCTCGGGGAGGGGCCCGGCTCTGGGCCGCCTCTGCCCCCCTCAGCCCGAGGCTGGTCCTCCCTCCGCTTTGGTTTTGACACCAACATGGGGCCGGCTGCTCCCGTGGCGGAGGTGGGAGGAGCGGCCACGAGCTCACGCCATGTTCCGAGGCCATCGCAGCTGCGGCCGCTCCCCTGCAATGGCTCACGAGAAACTGAAGCTATTGTTTTCTCAAGGCAGCTGGGGGGGGGGCGGTGCTGGGCCCCACCGCATACTCAGCGCTGGGCCCGGGCTGGGTGGGGGCAGCCGCCGCGGGCAGGTGTGGGAGGTGGGAAAGTCCTTCCTTACAGCTTCCGGTGGTGCGGACATGGCCCGGGAAAGACCGGCCCCGCTGGCCGCCACCCCACGGGGGCGGGGGTGGGGTGAGGGGGGAAACGGTTTCTGAATGGGTCTCTGTCTTCTCTCTGTGACCCATGCCTGGAACACATCCACTCAGGACCGGATGTCTGAGCTGGGTGACGCAGCAGTGGCCCCCGCAAACCTACCACTGGCCAAGCCCTGTGTCCCCCGGGGCCGCCCCTTGGGGCTCTGGGCTCAGGCGGAGGGCCGAGCCTCCTCGGGGCCTGGGGTGGATGTGAGCCCTGCCCGCGGCTCTCAGGAAGCGGGTGGGTGAACTCAAGGCTGGGTGGGGCTGGGCCAGGGCCAGGGCCGGCAGGGGATGTGCTCCTCGCCCCGGAGGACCCACAACCACTGGGGGGCAGAGGCTGCTGGGCGTAGAGGATTTTGGGTGCGTCACCACGCTCTGTCTCCTGCTCTGTGAGGTCCCCAGGGGCCACAGACGGTGGAGGAGGTGCCCAGCCCGACGGAGGCCGGAGGCTGCCCGAGACCCGCGGTCCCTTACCCTCGTGGACAGAGAAGCTAGCTCACCCGGGCGGGGGCTGGGGCCAGGACCAGGCGGAGTACGCCGGGGTCGTCTGCGGGGGCCTACCTGCCAAGGCGGAGGCCTCGGTAGCGAACTCCACGGCGAGTTTCTGGATGACTTCGGCAGGGCCGTCGTCGATGAAGAAGCCCAGGTAGCTGATAGAGGAATGGAGAGCCAGAGGGATGACAGCAGGGAAGGACCCCAGGACCCTGTCCCCTGCTTTCTTTAGAGCCTCATAAAGGAATTCCACCTTCTGGTCTTCACACTGAGGGAGAAGAGAGGGCGTTCTCAGCACGTGCGCGTGTCTGAGCGGAGGGGCAGGCAGGGGCCCTCCTCTCCCTTATCTGCCCCGGGTGCTGCGGGCTGTGGGCTGCATCCACGTGTCTCGCGTGGGTCTCCTCCCCTAGACCCTGTCCCGCACTCACAGCTCTGCTCACGCTGCCCTGGGCGACCCGTGGGGGTCCCCCAAGCTTCTGAGACAGCCAGGAGGTTAGGGGAGACCCTCTCAGGGCCTGCCGAGCGGCCCGAGACAGGCCAGCCCCGCTCGGCCGGACGGCTGCTGGCCAGCGGGTCCTTCCCCAGCTTCCTTAGGAGGGAGGTGAGGGGCTGGAGTGGGACTCCCCATCCCCCCTTCCATGGCTCCCGCAAGCTGCCCGAGTCAGGGTCCTGAGCAGCCCTGGCCATTTGCTCTGCAGCAGATCCCACAGGTGTCAGAAGCCCCTCTTCCGTTCCAGGCCCTGTTCTAGTCTCTGGGTGGATGAGAACCAGGGCAGCCTCTGCCTTCAGGGAGGAGGGGAGCCTGGGGGGCAAGATGCACAGGACCCCAAAGGACAGATGCAAAACTAAGGGGGGGGGCACACGGCTCCTGCTCTTTTGAATCTTCTGCTGGAGAGGTTTTTTTTTTTTTTTTTTTTTTTAAACAAAAGAAGGGGATAAATAGGTTGGGTCCCGAAGCATGAAGAGGAGCTGACTGGATCTCCAAGGAGTCAGTTAATACTACGTTTGGAGAGCATGGTGTGAACTCCATTGCCTCCTGACCACAGAAGCCCGACGTCAGCTCCAGAACGAGGGGCTCTGGCGGTCCTCAGCGGACTCACCGTGAAGAAGTCGCAGAGCGTCACGTGGGGAAAGACCTCGTGAGCTCTGTTCCTGGCACACTGGCGCCGGCTGTCTCTCCAGAACTCCTCCAGTCTCTCCAGCAGGGGCCCCGTGGGGCAGAGGAAGAGGGTGTACTCCTGGGGGATGGGGTCGTCCAGGGAGGGGTCGTGGCGATGGGCGTGCAGCCTATGACGGAGAGCAGCCACCTCTACTGAGTGCCCCGCACGGGTCTCCACCGGGGACGGCGTCCCAAAGTCACGGGTGTGCCGAGAGCAGAGTGTAGATGCTTCCGCCCCGGACAGCTGGGCTGTGTGCAGACCCAGGCCCGGCCCCGCCCCGGAGCACCTGCTGAAGACCCAGCTGCCAACTCCCATGGCATTGGAGAGAAACGAAGGGAGATGAACCAGCCGACTCAAAACCCGGTCTCCACACAGCCCCTGGGAACCCAGCAGCTCTGCAGTGTTGGAAACTGGGGCATGTGTGTGTGTGTGTCGGGGGGGGGGGTGCTCACATTTTTATTCCTTCCAACGTTCAGATTAAACAGAAAAATAAAGACCATAAAGATAGCTAGGCAAACTGTAGATGGCTGTGGCATTTCCTTTTGATTCAGAGCAACTCAAAATGTGAGTCTAACCTGGATGACAGGTGTGTGCTACCACACCGGCTTGACTTTGGAGTACGTGTATGCGTTCTGAGTTCCGAGAACCAACCCGGAATGCTAAGCACAGGCTGGACTATTCAGCACCCACCTGCCCTCAGTCAGACTGGGCAGAGAAAGCTCTGTTGGAAGCTCTCGCTCTGTGGTTAGGAAGGGCTCCGTGATCAGGCGGGCACGGAGGCCCGGCCCTGCCGAGAGGTGGAGAGAGGCCGTCCTCGGAGCCAGAGCCCCGCCAGCCCGCCCCAGAGCCCAGCTCCGGCCCCATGCTCACCACGCGGAGGCCTCGTCTACCGTCTTTCTCCCCGTGGCCGCCAGCGCTTTCAGCCTGAAGGGACGGGGGCAGGGGTCAGGCCAGCGTCCTCCACGCTTTGAGAGAGGGTCCGAGGAGCAGACCAGCAGGACGCTGGGCCTCCAGCGGGGACCCGGCCGCGGGCAGGCTGCCCGTGTGAACGCCCTCCGTGTCTCCATCCCCCGCGTGTCCACACAAAACCAAACCCGCGGGTGGATGCTGGAGGTGGCCGGGCCGGGCCCTGGCTCCGATGGGGCTCTCCAGACACACACAGCCCCGCAGGGGGAGCGTCCTCCTGGCATGCCTGTCCACGGGAAGCCGCCTGCCCCAGCAGGTCTGCCCACGGCGGGAGGGCCACCCGCGCCTGTCCCCAGCTCTCAGGCCCAGCGGGGCCCTGGCCACAGCTCCCTGGCACCACACGCCTTCCCCAGTGGACCCCAGGGTGTGCCAACATTGAACTAAGTCTAGCTGAGCTGGACAGGGGCGTGGCATGGCCTGGGCCTGCAGCCATGCCAGAGCACAGGCTTGTGCAGCGGCACCCTGACAACGCAGGCCCGAGCTGCCGGACCTGCTGCTGTCCTGAGCTGCCCAGACCTGCTGCTGTCCTGAGCTGCCTAGACCTGCTGCTGTCCTGAGCTGCCAGACCTGCTGCTTCCCTGAGCTGCCCAGACCTTCTGCTGCCCTGAGCTGCTGGACCTTCTGCTGCCCTGAGCTGCCGGACCTGCTGCTGCCCTGAGCTGCCCAGACCTGCTGTTGTCCTGAGCTGCCCAGACCTTCTGCTGTCCTGAGCTGCCAGACCTGCTGCTGTCCTGAGCTGCCAGACCTGCTGCTGTCCTGAGCTGCCGGACCTTCTGCTGCCCTGAGCTGCCGGACCTTCTGCTGCCCTGAGCTGCCCAGACCTTCTGCTGCCCTGAGCTGCTGGACCTGCTGCTGCCCTGAGCTGCGCAGACCTGCTGCTGCCCTGAGCTGCCCAGACCTGTTGCTGTCCCAGTGAAGAGTGACTGGGACATGGCCACCGGAAGGCACTTGACAGGGACCTGATCCAGCCCTAGGCAGAAGGCTTCGGCCGGCATGTGAGACATCCAAGATCATGTGTTGACAGTTTAAAAGAGAAGTAACATGGTGTGTCGAGTCTAACTGACGGCTCTAGCAGTGGGTGAGGAGAGGCCTTTAGAGGACAGAGCCTGGCCTCCACGTCCTCATCCACAGCCCAACAGTGAGACTGTGTGCACACCCCTTCCCCCCAGCTTGGTTCCATTCACACTCAGCTGACCCGGGATCGGCTGAGGGCCATGGTGATGACAAAGGGCTCTCTGATGGTGCAGAGCCTGTCTGATGTTATAGAGACCTGTCTGATGGTGCAGAGGCCTGTCTGATGGTATAGAGGCCTGTCTGATGGTATAGACGCTGTCTGCTGGTGTAGAGGTCTGTCTGCTGGTGTAGAGGCCTGTCTGATGGTGCAGAGCCTGTCTGATGGTGCAGAGCCTGTCTGACAGTATAGACGCTGTCTGATAGTGTAGAGGCCTGTCTGATGGTATAGAGGCCTGTCTGATGGTATAGAGGCCTGTCTGATGGTATAGAGGCCTGTCTGACGGTATAGACGCTGTCTGATGGTGCAGAGGCCTGTCTGATGGTGTAGAGGCCTGTCTGATGGTGCAGAGGCCTGTCTGACAGTATAGACGCTGTCTGATAGTGTAGAGGCCTGTCTGATGGTGCAGAGGCCTGTCTGATGGTGCAGAGCCTGTCTGATGGTGTAGAGACCTGTCTGATGGTGTAGAGGCCTGTCTGATGGTGCAAAGCCTGTCTGATGGTATAGACGCTGTCTGATGGTGCAGAGCCTGTCTGATGGTGTAGAGGCCCGTCTGACGGTATAAACGCTGTCTGATGGTGTAGAGGCCTGTGTGATGGTGCAGAGGCCTGTCTGATGGTGTAGAGGCCTGTCTGATGGTGCAGAGCCTGTCTGATGGTGCAGAGCCTGTCTGATGATGCAGAGGCCTGTCTGATGGTATAGAGCCTGTCTGATGGTGCAGAGGCCTGTCTGGTGGTGCAGAGGCCTATCTGATGGTATAGAGGCCTGTCTGATGGTGTAGAGCCTGTCTGATGGTGCAGAGCCTGTCTGATGGTATAGAGGCCTGTCTGATGGTGTAGAGGCCTGTCTGATGGTATAGAGGCCTGTCTGATGGTGTAGAGGCCTGTCTGATGGTGCAGAGGCCTGTCTGATGATGCAGAGGCCTGTCTGATGGTGCAGAGCCTGTCTGATGGTGTAGAGGCCTGTCTGATGGTGTAGAGGCCTGTCTGATGGTGCAGAGGCCCGTCTGATGATGCAGAGGCCTGTCTGATGGTGCAGAGCCTGTCTGATGGTGTAGAGGCCTGTCTGATGGTGTAGAGGCCTGTCTGCTGGTGCAGAGGCCTGTTTGATGGTACAGAGGCCTGTCTGATGGTGCAGAGCCTGTCTGATGGTGTAGAGGCCTGTCTGCTGGTGCAGAGGCCTGTCTGATGATGCAGAGGCCTGTCTGCTGGTGCAGAGGCCTGTCTGATGGTGCAGAGGCCTGTCTGATGGTGCAGAGCCTGTCTGATGGTGTAGAGGCCTGTCTGCTGGTGCAGAGGCTGACCTGACAGGGAAAGAGAAAAGGCACTTCAGCTTAGAGGCCCTTCCTCCAGAACGGGCCGGGTTTTGTTACAGCACTGAAGGTGAACTCCCTCCCCGAAGCCTGAGGTCACCTAACATGTATTTATAATGTATAGTTACTTCTTAGCTCCAAGGGACCAGCGATGAGAAGCAGATTTGCTGTGTCAGCATTGTTTCTCCCTGTCGGATGGGAGACTCCCAGTGCTCAACGTTCTCGTGGGGTGTTTCTCTTCAGATGAACAGAGTGGCCCAGTACCCTTCTGGCCTTGCCTTGGATTCCCTCCCACCTCCCTCCCTCCCTCCCTCCCTCCCTCCCTCCCTCCCTCCCTCCTTCCTTCCCTCCTTCCCTTCGCTCTCTCTTTCCCTCTCCTCTCCTCTCCTTTCCTTTCTTATTTCTTTTTCTTTTTTAGGTCTGAGACAGAGACTCGAACTTGGTACCGGCCACTCTCACCCATTGGCTAGAGCTCTAACGACTGAGCCATGCCTCCGACCCCCCCCCCCCTTTCTTTTTATTAGCTATTTGAAACCTAGCTATTATTTATCAGGACAGCTCTCCCCGGTTGCCCAGGCTGACTTTGAGCCTTAGTCCTCCAGCCTCAGTATGTGTGCTGAGGCTTAATGGTGGGCCGCCACACCAGGCCCTTTCTACAATTCCTTCCCAATCCGTTTCCATCCTGGACTGTCCCAGTACAAACGGCTTTTCCTGTGCTGATTAGAAACTGGGTCTGATGTGTCTCCAACGGCCCTAGCATTAGAGACCATATTAGAGTTTGAGATGACTTTAATGTCACCTGCAGAGTCACTGGGCTGCAAAAAGAGGTTCAAGCTCCTCCAACCCCCTAGGACAGGGCTGGGACAGCGGGACAACCCAGCTTGTGTTGGGGTCCCCGTCCACCCTGCGGTGGAGTTGGTCTTTAGAGGTAAGATCATCTCATGCACCCAAAGCAGAAAGGGCCTGCTGGAGACGCTAGCCTGCCCTGTAAGGCAACCTTCCCCGGCGCCAGCACCCTGGGCCCGTCCCGTAGTTCTGTCCAAGGAGCCAGGTGGGCTCTGACTCTGCCTGGCCGGCCGGGCTGCAGGAGCTCAGCCGGCCGCGGTACTCACGCGGTGTGCGCGGGGAAGCCCATGGCCAGGAGGGGATCCAGGAGCGAGGGGGGGCTGCGGCCCTTGAGCTTGTTGGAGACCTTGGCGTAGAGCTGCGTCTCCCCAGCTGCCATCTCTTCCTGCCCGCAGCCTGCTAGCTGCGACGAGAAAGCCGAGGCCGCCAAGGAAAACCTCAAGCCTTTCAGGGCTGACGCGAGCTCTTATCCTGTTTGCATAATGATGGGTCTTCTGAACTCCCTCCGTGGGGGCTGCCCACGGCTTCTGCCAGCCTCCAGTTACCGCAGTGGGCTCGGGGGCCCGCACTCCACGGAGTGGAGAGACACCCACACCTGTGTGGAGATGCGTCCATGCCGCATCTGCAAAGATCTGCTGCTTCTCCCAATTGTCCATTGACATGTGCTTCCCTTAGAAACTGAAGACATTAACGTGCACGTGCGCAGCCTGAGGTCTTTTTAGAGAGCGAGTGTGCACCCCAAAAATCTGCCAGTACCCACACACAGCAATCTGTAGCCCAAGGAGCCCCCTTCCCAGTGGACGCACTCCCCCTTCTCTGGGGAGACACGTGTCGGGGGACCACTGTGGTGGGGGGGTGTGGGCAGGTGCCCCTAGGCACAGCACTCAACCTATACAACAGAGTGACAGGGTCTCTAGCCCCCGTTTCCTGCCTGGGGAGTGGGAAATGCTACGCTCTCTCTCTGTCTCTCTCTGTCTCTGTCTCTCTGTCTCTCTGTCTGTCTCTCTCTCTCCACCTTATCCTGGTGGATTAATTAAAATAAATCCTTGATAAAACTTAGAAAGGAACGGTG